ACGATGTGAAAATTGGGTTTAAGCACGCCACATGTATTCGGAGTTTTACAACACCTTTACCAGTAACACACATATAATCCAAATGTGCCAACACAGTCGAATCAGAAGTGAAGATTGTTGTAACTTTGTGAGCCGCTTGTTATCACATAATCTATTCGCTAATCAAAATATGACTTATTCGCTCTTACACTATACTGAACCAATGACGTTCGACCGGTCTGATCAGCCTAGCGTTCTATTGGTCCGTTGCTCGCCTAACCTGTTCAGCTGAGTCCAGAATGCTAATAATAGCCTCCACTATGCGAATCATTTATTTCAGATATACTGGGTTTATATACCACGGCATTCCCACTCGTGATCTGATGAGGATGCGTGACCGAGTGCTTTCGGCTGGGTGAGCCCACCAAAACTAATGCGGTCAGCATCAAATGTCGAAGACTTATAGGGCTCTTTATTTGTCGCTACATATCACTCCACACTAGTGGGGTAGTGATGGTCCTAAGACGTGACTATTCAGAGGCTTACACTCAATGAGCTTATCGTTGATAAACACTCTTCTGATAGCTTGCTATGTTCAACAGTGTCTGGCCTCCTTCCTTACTATAAGTGGCCATGTAATATAATATACTAATGGAAAACAAGTACAATAAAATTTCCATTCATCTTAATCTCCGTCGCTTTTTCATCCTTCCCAGCCGTCCCGGGAAGAAAGAAAAATATATGTGAGCGCGTGTCGAATTACATCCGCACGTGCGTAAGGACACAAGACGGGCGAAAAATGAACTCACATACATGCGTTTTGCAATCATGCATTTGAGTAAAAACGATTTTCGCAAAGTGATTTTTGGTTTCCTCAGAAAAATATAATTATGCACATATAAACAAGCACAATGGCAACAAAATCTTTGGGTCTTGTTTTTTCTTGGGACAAAAAAGTGTGTATGAGCATATTCAAACGTTTTTTTGTTTTTCGGACATAATAATACGAAAACTCGGGATGAAACAAGTGTTATGCAGTGTTTTAAATGCAAGCGCTAGTTACGTTCTTATCGATTATATTGTACTTAGGTTCACACTGAAGGCCGTTGAAGGGTCCTTCGTATGTTGTTCGAGAGGTCGTCGTAATGAGTCGTGACGTGCGAAAACGTGTATACTATATCGTAGAGCGAATTGATCGAATTCATCAGTTGATTGAGTGCGCGTTGAGTGAAAACAGTTTTGGCTACACGTATGGAGTTTGCAAGCCTGCTTGTGTAAGAGATAAGATCCACGTGAAGAATCCACGAACTCTCCTGGAATCCGAAGTGTTGTTCCATAAACGAGTTGGGCTGCAGTGTATCCAGTATTAGTTTTCACTTCATTGTAAATGCCTAACAACACGAGTGGAAAAGCGTCAGTCCACCGTAAAATGTTTGCAGCTGAGATTGAAAACTTTAGCTGTATCAAAACTACTGCTTATAAACAGAGGTTTTGGTAAGTAATAAACGATCAGAACAGCAATTGAAAATACCATTGTACCCTTAAATAGCACGCGTAAATCGAGGTCTTTTTATAAAAATCATTTTATAACTACTGAAGTCAGATTTTTTAAAATTGTTGATAAGGACAGTTATATACAAAAATGTATTTTTGTTTATATTGAGTGCCTATCACCTGTTAAGCCTTAGAAGATGTATTTTCGCTGTAAGATCACAAAATAAATTTATCGCGCAAGTAAAACATCGTTATGCCAGACCTGTAACCTATTACCCCGTCGAAGATAGGATGCAAAGTAACAAATGCAATGAATGGTAACAATATTTGTGCACCGAACTATTAATCGCTGCATATGAAAGAAGCTGAAAAACATTAGTCAAGACCAACGATGTAGCACCGTCTACTGACGAAGGTTACTGAGGTTTTGAAGGTCAATCTGTTGTACAACGATTTGTGCGTCACCTCGACAAATCGCAAGGTTTTGTAGAAGCGGTCAATTCAAGACAACTTTGAATTTGATTTGAATTTAGGTACACTGTCTGGTAACATCCATCCATCAAGTGATGAAAGTGATGCCATGTGGAAGGCCTGCATGCTTTTTTCCAGTGGATGATGGAATTCAGTGTGACAACTGCGATAAGTGGTATCACAATGTGTGCACCACACTCACACCGGTTGCATATAAAAATTTCTGCAAGCCGCTGTCACGTTGGCTATGCAAAGAACGCCGTTCTACAAAGTCCCTGCTGATTCTTGAGGTGATTGAGCTACTGAACATCGCTAGAAAATTGCCCTCAGATAAACAAACAGCAGTAGATGAATCGGATTCAGTTTTCAAGGAAATAGCGAGCGTAATCATTAACCCAGCTTTGGATTTGAGTAAGACCATCAAAGTGAACCCCATTAGAGGAACGGTTAGAATACATACAGATGTAGGCATTGTCAATGGAAAAAATAAAAAGCATGGTGAGAAGAAACTACCTATTGACAGTGCCAACGTATGTGTATCTACGGTTTCAGTTCCGGATTCACATATCAACTCAGAATAGATTATGGGGGAGCAAAGCCTAGGCGGTATGGATGACATAATTAAGAGATATAATAAGGCAGGTGATTAGCTCACAGTCACATCCAGGAAAAGAAAAGTACGGAAACGGAGTGGGACCTCTGTGCTTGACGCCAAATCGGTCTTCAGGAATTAAAACCCTACAGCGTGTTAAGACGGGCCTCGCTGACATATCAGTCGCTTTTCATGCGTTAAGAGAACCTTCCGAAAGGGAGCCAAAGCTAGATTTGAGCACGACCTCCTGAGAAAAATTGCGCAATATATTGCAGTCCGACTTTCTATGATATTCAATATGTCACTTGACCAAAGTGTGTTACCTACAGACTGGAAGGATGCGATCGCCACTCCCATACATAAAACGGGATCATGACGACCTTCATCGAACTACAGACCTGTCAGTCTCACCAGTGTCGTAGTTGAAATACTGGAAAGAATAGTCAAAAAGACAATAATGACGTTTGCGAAAACCAACAACCTGTTAAATAACGAACAATATGGTTTCAGAAAAGGTTCATCCTGCACAACAAACCTCCCAATATCAAGAAAGCAATGGATAAAGGCTCCAGACAACGGAAAATCAGTGGATGTTGTCTACATAGACTTAAGCAAAGCATTTGATAAGGTACTATTAAAGCTGGAAAATCTTGTCATTGCCAGAGCTCTACTAAAATGGCTTAAGGATTTCGTGATAGGTCATAGACAGAAAGTAAGAATAAATTCAAATTACGCCTCCTGGAAACCAGTACTTAGTGTGGTACCGCAAGATTCTGTCTTAAGTCCTTCACTTTTATACTGTATGTGCATGATCCCTCAAGTATAGTGGATTCCCAAATGTTGATATACGCTGACGATGTGAAAATCTGGTGAGAAATACCAGGATACACAGATGCATGCGCACTTCGGGCAGAGTTGCATATTTTGATTAGCTGGTCTAAAACGCGACTGATGCCTATCAACGAGGCATGGTGCGTCTACATGCACTTCGGGGATATGAAAGTTAGTAGTCACAGCATAGCGGAATTGCTGTATCTGTGGTCTGGTCTTACAACAATTTTAGGGTGATGGTGAGTCAGGATCTTAAGACCACAGTCCATTGCCGGGAGGTTGCAGCTAATGGGGTTGGGAAGCCTACGGGCTTTAATACGGACATTTTTCGTGTCGGTAGGCAACCCTCGTTCTTTTGATAGAAGAATGCAGACTAGTAGTGAAAAGTTCTTCATTTAGATCTTTGTGCAGTCACAGTGGAGAGTGGGACTACCTATTCAAACGCACAAATGTTTTCAACATTCAACACAAGATAATAGGAAAAATAATGTCTATACAAATTAGGAAAGTGAATGAATACTTGGGCTCTATTGTTTTGACATATACTTGATCGTTCGAGGTCGATTCTTAACTAATAAACCTAAGCTGTTACACATTCCCCAAGTTAAATATTACCATACTCACTACGGTATACTCAACCTTAGTGAGAACTGAACTTGAGAACTGCGTTCAGGCTGCAAGCCCCTGTTTAAAAGGTGACTTGGATATCCTGGAAAAACTGCAGAGGGCAGCTACCCATGCAATTCCAGAACTTCGGAGTTTACCATACCAAGAGCGACTTGAAAGGCTAGAGCTCTTCACTCTGTCCTATTCCAAGTTAAGAGGTGATTTTATCTTGATGTATAGAATGTAGAACTATGGTCTACTATAATATTAGTGCTGCTCTAATAATAGACCTAATCCTAAATTTGTCATGATATAACTGCCTAATCTATAAGATCTTATGTGGAAGTCACATCATCATCTACACCAACTCACTGTATCGTAACAACTACCAATATATGATGAAGAACAAGCTAAGGCTAGAGAAAGGATAATATATTTAATATGAATAAAAGATATAAGGTAATATTCAGCAGGGACCACGCCTGCATGGCCGAGCCATGCCATTCAATCAACTCCAATTCATTCAACTCATTGTTCGCGCCTTCTCTATCGTTAGGCATTTCTTCGCGTTAAATATTGAATACCTATTTTCCGAGCAATCTCGTATTCAGCTTTGAAGATCGTGTGGTTATTGTCCAATGCCACTACAAGAATACTAAGAAATAATTTTGGACCTAATATACCCTCTCTTTTCCTTCCCACTAGATCGGGACATCCCAGAGGACATAGCAGACGAGTAGCAGGGCCTAGAACGAATGAAATACTCGTGGCATACAGGTGTATATATTGAGTCATCAGATCTTGGAACCTGTTGTATGAAGCATTGGTGCCTGCATGCAGACACCACTTGAGAAGACTAGGCACTCACAGAAGCATACTAAAAAAGGAATAACATAGGCCATAGACCGTTTATCCTTACTACACGAATCTGAATCTGAACTGTCGCATCTGTAAAACTGTACTAGCTGTCGAAGTGACGCACCAATCTTTTTATGACGGTTTGACCTTCAAGTGCTCAGTAACCTCCAAAATGGACAATGCCACTCGTTTGCTTCTGTGGTTTTACATCGCTCATAATTGAGAGGAGATATATCTGACGTAAGCATACTAGAACGAATGCAGCGACCGTAAATAGTAATAGGAGCGAAAAATCGAGAAAACACAAATAACGTGAAAAAGTTGTGCTAACACATAAAGCGTCGCACAAGTTACGGAATCTCGAGATTCCATAAGAATGCCGATCAGCACACTTAAGGATTCAGTACTTCAGCAACACAAAAATGCTAGCAAAAAACAGAATAAAACAAGTCATGCATCAATGCCTACAAAGATTGTAGAAATGATAGTTCCCGCTTAATTCTGACTGATCGACAAGCTTGCCAAAATTACGAACCGGAGTTGAGGTTATTTCCATTCTGTATTTTTTTGTTGTTGATGATTTTCGCCGATTGCGTTTATTTTTGAATGCAACTGAATAACGTAAACCTAATGGGTTGTTTACTCAGTTCGCTTATGTTTACCTCTCCCAGACTCACCTTGCTTCTTACTCTTCCCAAAATATAACTTATTTATAGGTTCGATACAAACCTAAAGAAGGCTAACCGTTACGTTTCCGAATGGTTTATAATGAATATACTCTGTAAATAATTTTTCTGACATGGATTAACTTTTAGTTTCATAACGCCAGATCACTACTTCATAAACGCATTAGGGTCGAAAGCCTTCATTATAATTGACAGAGTGTCACAAGAACTTAAAGTTGAATGTTAGTTTCTTCATATTAAGACATATTTTCGTAGTTGAAGAACCGGCCATCCCAAGCGTAGCGAAAAAGCATACAATCTATGGAATATGGGGGGTTGTACGTCTAGTTTCGGGTAGGTTTCAAGTGTTTGTTTCATATCCATTCAAACTAGGGTTTTATTTGATAGTAATTAAAGAACGTGAGCGAGTCGGTGAGATATTCGGGAACACTATTCTAAAAATAACCAAGAGCGTCATATTACCATTTGCAAGGTCTGTACTTCATTTGACAGATATTCAGGTAAGCGAACTTAGATTTATGTGAATTGGTAGAATCAAGATGAATCTTTATATTGCCAAATGCTTAATAGTATTCTGTCGTCAGAAGGCTTTTACTACTCGAGTACCTATGACTTGAGTCACACATTGCAACGTTTATCGGATACGGACCCAAAATTCAAGGCATCCAGTATTTACGAGCGTGTAAGCGTTTTGTTTTTCAATGAAACTTTTAATCAAATGGTGATTGTGTGGTTTAAGCAAATTTTCGGATTTTTTCCGCCGATAATTTATGCTAACACTAAACAGTCTTAATTGTCATATTAATTTTTACTTACCAGTGATAGTTAGTGCAGTTTTTAAATTACGATTGATCAAACAACCCAACTGTATCTTCTACCTTGACGTGATGATGGGACTTGCATATCTTAACGATTCAGCTGATCTATATTAACTGCAACACTTGTCTCTTCAAGTTCTAATATGCTAGGCAGGTCATTTGGAGAACGGTGATACTAAAAACAGCAACTGACGTAGCCATACTGCTGACTGTTCAATGATAAGACAACAGTAGGGTATTTCCCTCAGATAGCCAGTGTCTGTTGTAATAATGCCTTCTCACAATGTAGGGAACGGACTGAAGAAGGTTGATGCTAAAAATGTCATACGTTACCATACCTCACTGATCTCCGTCTTTGGCGGTAAGGCGTTTTAAAATATGGGTTTAGAACATCAGAAACCTACCACGGAAACGTCTTGCGTGGCAAGCATCGAGCAGTTGTTCCTTGGACTCTGGTAATGCTCACAGTCAATCTCTAATTTAGTCCCACTTTCAGGCACCTCATGAAGAAATATCCACACGGTGTGGGCGACCTAAAAGTAACAGCCTCTTTTATATATGTAACACCACGCGCCACGTTCACAATGACCTCTCTGTCACCTTCATATCCCTCCTGTCCCTACAATTAACCTTTATATGGATTTTTCTACATATGCTACCGATGCTAAAGATTTGAGTTCACAAAATGTTGTTTCTGTTCTCTTGAAGTCGCACTTTAAACTACATGTTGCAGTTTCCAATCTTTTAACCTTGTTGGACAGAACAACAGGGTTCGTTAGCTAGGGTTCTAAAATCTCATACTATTGATACATGTTGCGTCTCCAAAACATGAATACGGGACCCTATCATGTTCATACATCTGACCTTTCCTAGCCAGTGTATAGAGCCAACACGATATACTTTCTCTGTATCTGGATATGTGGCATCAACTCGTGATATCGCCGGCGTAGGTATAGCATTAAGTTTTAAAGCTGGACAGCCACTTGACTAGATTTTTTTCGATAGCCTCTTATGTTCTGTTCGTCTCAATGGCGCAGGATTATGTTGCGTTTCGTCGTATCTGTATGCATCCACTGATTGCAGTTCAAAGGAAGTAAAAGTTGAGCTTTGTAGGCTACGTTCCATCCTCAAAAAGTTAACCGCCCAAATGTAGCATTAGTGATGAGTGATTTTAATGCCTAAGTAATTCAAGCCAAACTGAAAAACAGATGAGTCTTCTGGCGTCCTAGCCCAATGAATAGATAATGGCAACAATCTTCTGTAATTGTCCTTAAATAACCGATCATTCTTGACAAGCTCCAACTTTGAGCATAAGGAAAAACATCTGACATGAAAACAACCGGAATTAACTCAACGATAGACGCTAATAAACCATATTAGTATCAGTCGTCGTTAGAGAGGCTCGGTAAAAGACTGAAGTACATGTCTAGACTTTGATCATGCTCTAGTGCAAGAACGCGTTTGCATGTAGCTTCTTGGATGCAGAGAATCCAAGCCAAGGGAGAATGGTGAAAGACTGGTAGATATGTTTACTTTGAGTCGTGCTCATAGGTGGCGGCATTCTTCCCACAAATGCATGCACAGAACTACATGGGTTTCACATGGCCATACTACGGAGAACCAGATCGATCACATGCACAAGTAGACGATTCGGAAGTTCTATGGAAGATGTAAGAATATGGTGAGGAACGGATGTGCCGTTAGATTACCATCCACGGGTGGCAAAGCTAGAACTGAAGCTAATGCAACCAGATTGCAGGAAAATATAGTTGGCACGAGGGACCAATCAGGAACAAAGAGTCAGAATCAATCACTGAAGTTCAAGAGCAGTAGGACAGGTGGGTAGGAAGTTTTGAGGAGTAACAATTGCGGAAGAGGGTCTAGAACAGCCATTTGGAGATTCATTGTTGGCAGTGTATGCCCCAATAGGAGTAACAGGCTTAAGGAAGGTATAATGTATTACACGATTTAGCGCTAACATCATGTCCCAAATCATACTTAATCACCATTGGTTTGAGATCAGGGTTTTCCAAACCCTTCAGATGGATCCACCAACTCAGTTTAGGCACCTAACATTCACTTCTTATCCTCTTACTTTCGTAAACAACACCCTCACTATCAGATAATGAGCAGGATTTTCCTGGCAGCGGTTGTAAACATTGCTATATGAAAGAAGAAAAAAAGAGCAGACAACCCATTATCGGTCCATCCACTAACTAGGGGAGTGTTCTAGTTTCTTATATAATGTGTATGTTTTATTTGTATTTCTGAAGTCACTTTGGTAATTTATCTGGTTGGTGGTAAATGTTTCATGCTTCGTGATCATTCTATGCATAAAATGCCTTTTTGTGGGTACATACTCAGGGCAGATGTTTTGGGTTTGACTGTTTGAAAGGTCATTATAATATAATGTGTTTAGGTATTGTTGGATGTAATTTGAACAACATATAAGCGGACAGTATTGTTTTCAGACATAACTCCATCAGACATCAATATTTATATGGATATATAAAAATATTAAATCAATGAAGGCAATCTATGAGTCAGCGATAGCAGTGAAATAGATCACACAAGTAAACAACAAGTAAAAATGCAAATTGATTATGTGATGACAGATGTACTAGTTGTGATAAGAAAAATAAAGTCTTGAATTAATTTAGTGAAAAGTAGCTTAACGACTCGTTAACTTCATCTCGTACAATGTAGTATGGTAATTTAGGCCAACTCACATTTGTCTCCAGCTTCGGTTTGGGCACTCAGGCAGAGTATCCCAGCCCTCACATAAATCGAATGATTTATGTGGCGCATATCTATTTGGTGCCTCCTTGTACATGTTGATTATAAATGATATAAAGTATTATTGGTTTGGTTTTTCATTTTTACGGACTGATATTCTTATATAAGCTCTTATCTTAATGGGATTTTTAATTCGTTTCCCTTGAACTTTTAATATACTCATAGGCAGATACACGGTTTACGTGGAATAAATCTCTGTTGAATGAATGGGAATCTATGCTTAATTCTACATCATCCTTCAAGCATAAGCAAACAACCGGTTGGAATCGCTTCGATTACTGTGTACCTATCATTCAAGGATATGTTGGGATAATATCATATCCAGAAAATTTGTCTGACACTCTTAAGGGAAACCTCGTGTATTCCCTCATCTCTCGTCGTAGTATACATCGAACTGGAACAAGATTCAACGCACGTGGAGTTGACGGGGAAGGGAACTGTGCGAATACTGTAGAAACAGAACAATTGGTCGATATTTCGGGGCATAGGTTTTCTTTTGTTCAGGTTTGTAGGATTTGGTAATAATCTATTTACCGTATGTTTTGGCCTTTCATGTTGTTAAAACATGAAAGAAAAACTGGGATTCATTTTTATTGATCAGTCGTTTCCACCATTAGTATGTTATAACTTCATAACATTTTTTGATATAGTAGGATCAAGTGGCGATGATAAACCAGCCAGCTCTACCATGGAGGCACTAAAGATGTACCACGTTGAGATAAGCCACTCTGGTTTCCACTATACGCCACCGTCAGCACTCACACAACGATCCAAATGCACAGACTTTTCGATTACTTCTAATGGCTCACCACATAAAGTAGATTCAGATACAGACTCATCCAAGTTTCGTAAAAGTACATTGCGTTTAGAAGATAAAAAGTACGTGCCATACCTTACAGACACTGAGTGTCGACTGATTAGGTGTTAGTTGGTATAGCTTGAGTATCACCATACAGTATGAAAATATCATGTGCATACCCAAGGCCGAAGAGCTTTCCACCAAGTCATAGATCTTGGTCTGGTCAGTACAAGCGCTTTTAAAAAGTACTTCTACCATGGCAAATACAGGACTTCAAAACAAGTGACGAGGTATGTGTGGAACATGCTCCAACCAGCTCAGTTGCCGAGGTTCCACAGACCAATCAACGAACATACTATCTCTTCATGGTGACCTACACATCGCTTCATCATTGTTTACATAATAGGTCCGCCGTACGCAAACAACTCTTAAGATTCCAGCGACCATACAGAAAATAACCCAAAAGAGACGATAGTGGAGAGTCTTCTTTCTCTCTCGTAACGCTCTTAAATGGTCATGTGTTTCTAGACACCTCTAGGGAAAGTAATGTAATTTTGTCTCGACGTTCATAAGCACAAAAACTGTACGGTAACTTAATTTCTACATAAAACATTGTTTTCAGTTTGAGTGACGTACGATTATCACTCTCTCTTAATAATTGAGATGGCTTAGTGTCAGTACTTCATGTTGACATTTTAAAATTAATTATACTGAGTTTTAAATTAAACTATCGTCAAGTGCAGATTTTTTTAAAAGCAAATTATGGCCTCCATGACTACTGTTTAATTATAATTTACCGACATTACTAATAAGCTTTTACTGTGTTAAATGAGTTTGATTCTGTAATCGGATTTCGGTAGGCTTATTCACAAAAAGTGTTTAAAATCTCGGAAATTAACTAAGACTTTCCTCATTGTGGCTTAGCATATTGGTCCATAGAGTTCAAATTAGGTTACTGCCGTTTTAATTCCTATTACTAAGAATAGAAGTTCAACTTTTTAGTATATTGTTACGTCTTCGATCTGTCTACCAATTTTGTTCAGAGGATAACTTGTCTAATCTAGATTAAGACTTTGACGTGATAGGTTGACTGGCTTGAACCTGAGGCTAGTATGCGTGAGTTCGAAATGGGTGAGAGAGACGAATACTATTCTATCACCTGATTGATTGGCTGACAAGCACGCGAGTGAGAGAAGATAAGCCGACTGGAACACTACTCGGTCTATTCCCGATTTCAGATCAGTGTTAAAAGGCACATGAATAAATGGATGACTAACCCGACCACAACGTACAATAATTAGGAAAATACAAAAACTGGGGATCAGCGTAGAAAATAGAGTACAAAATAATACGTTTAAATTACAATAGCTTTAGAACAAAAAGGGCTATGGCAGTGAATCATACATCAAACGAAAGCTTATGGTCTGTAGAATAGACTATGGACAAAAATAAATGTTAATGTTTTACAAGCCTTGAATTAACTAAAATAACGTCCCGAAAAATAGCTTTCGTAATTTGTCAAGGCTTCTTGTTTCTCTGTTCACATCATATATGTATACTACTATTATTACGGCGAATCGATTCTGCCTTATTGTATTATTTATATGTTTTATATTTTCACACGCTTATTTATCTTTTCCATCCATCATAATTTAAAATAACCAAACCGAAGCTTCGTGGTTCTGTGCCAATATATTGGAGTCAACGACCGAACTTAAGATATAAACCAGCTGTTTTACTAGGTGGTAGTCAACTATCTTCCAGTATAACACACTCGGCTAACTTAACCGTTAATGAGACTGAGAAGAATTTGGAGGCAATTCAAGCTAATATTGCACGCCAACATTTTCATAGTTTAATATACGATTATGGTTACGGACGACAAACAATAATAAATTTATTAGATCAGAAAGGGATGGAACGTAATTTAGGACATGCTTATGCTATGGCCGTTTCAGCTTTAGATGAAAAAGAAGTCAAGTAAGAATAACTTGTATGCAATTATTCATGTTCAAATTTTCCAAAACAGTCTTCGTCACAAACTGAAGTCTGTTGTGGAGAAACTCTGTCTGAGTTTCTGAGTTTGGTATCAGTCTGTTGTACACATTCCTAACATTATTGACCGTTTTTATTGAGTAGATTGGTCATTAAGCCAGAATTTAGTGATCATTATTTTTCAAATCCAACCTAATCAAATGTTATTTCGGCAGCGCCGGTGATTATATGGTGCCAATCCAAACCTGATTAGCCTCATGAATAATTACTTCTCTTTAGAACTACAGAGAATTGTCTGTGAATACATTCAGTAACAAATAGCAATAGTGCTGTGATGTATGTCACTAAAATAAGTAAACATTTAACAAATCCGATATAGTTTGATATACTAATGATGTTAATCCGTTTTATTTTGAAGCAGCTATTCTGCTTTAATCAACAGTGTGCATGCCAATTTACATTACAGTTTCTTGTTTATTCATTTTGCAACTGATAATATATATTTAAGACAATTATTCCCTCTGATAAATTTGTATAATGTGATAATTTACTTATCAAGAATCTCAAACTAGTAAATCAATACTTGCCATTTCTTAATCAATTCGACCGCTTTCGAGCCTTGGTATTAAATAAATAAATCCAACTATTTTAATTTTCTAAATGCCTTTTGAACTTAAATCACTCGAATAAATATTATTTATCTGGAATTCCTTTCGGTAAGTGCAAACAATAACATACATGCATACAACATACTTATTTACTTACTTCACTTGCTCTGGTTGTCTTCATGTGTATAGTTTGTTGTTAGAATGAAGCCGGTTGTGTTTATTATCCCTTTGTTAAGTATGTAATAACTATCTTTTACTCTTCACAGCTGGTAAGTCCGTGGTGTGAAGCAACCAGTGCTGTCGGGTTGGCGTTCGAATCTTTATGGTTGTGGAAAAATGACTTTCGTGGGTGGGAGATCGTTGGTAGTAGGTTGATAGTATTTGTTCATAGGGATCGTCAAACCATACGTGGCGCTTTCTGTATTTTATTGAATATTCATGATAAAAAAATACAGTACTGTTCACTAAGTCAACTAGTTTTGTGCTAAATTACTTTTAGTTTGACTAGACTACCAAATCCTTTTGTCCAAAATATTTAGACATAATAGCTGTTAATTTACAAGCGTTTTTATAAATTGGTAATATTTCTAACTTGTGTGGACTCTTTCATTATGAATCATGCGAAAATAATCATATTTAAAACATATAGCCATCAACTGATGTATTGGAATTCATTTTCCTGCAATATTTTATAGTTTGTTTTTTATTCTTTTTACTACGAAAGATATGAAAGTTTTGATTTTCATCATGAATGTGGTTCAACTCGTTGGGATCGACTGGGTATCTTGTTAGAACACCTTATACCAGAATTATTGAGATCAAAGTGAGTCATTGTTTGCTCCTTTTTACTTTCAAAATCACTTTGTGTATTTAGTTCCTCACTGTTAAGTTATCAACCAAAATTATATTTCATATATCCACCCTCAATGGTTTAATTAGTGTTGTTAGATGTATTATTCTCAAACAGTACTTTATTGCCCCTTTATACAAATATTTACCTAGGTATTAATTTTCCTTTCCTATCCAGTAGATTTTTCTCGTATCCTTATTGATATCTAGTCGTTAAAATGAATGTAGGTTAAAAGATCTATCATGTGGCGGTTTCAAAGTATTATGGTTTTATCATCTCACTAAGAGAGGCTGCTCAGAAAACAACAGGTGATAAATAAATCGGTTCACAATATTAAGGGAGCAAGCAAAATGGCAACCATTGAAAAGGCTCATATTAATAAAGGCGAACATTGAAGAGGGGAATTACATTATCAATTGTGTAAAATATGTTCGATTCACCCTTTGTTGTGGAAGGCCTTCCTAAAACGAACGGTCTGGTGGTGAGGTGCCAACTTATTGATAACGGTTATCCAGGTTAGTGGAAATTTGTTGACGCTCTGAAAAATAATAACAGTGTAAATGGATTAAAAATTGAACAGCCTGTTGCAGAAATCCATTAACAGTAATGGTCGTTAAATATTAAGAGAAAGGATCGATACTAGACTATTTATGTGTAGTAGCACATCATTTGAATATGAATATCCAAACGTGGTAAACTTCTTTACGAAAATTTAATGTATGTAACATTTACAGCTATATTACATTGATCTTACCCCCTTTTGATGTATTATACACAGTCAGTTAGTATATTGCCGAGATTATTCAGTTGTGGTAATAGGTCGCCCTTGTAGGCTAAGTTGTTAACGTGTTGTCCTGTCGTGCTCCGAATTTTAAATGTCTACATCGCTTGCTTACGTACGTCTATTACCACTCTTAGTCTGTCGAAGAATATAGAGAATAGTAAACAATTTCACGGATTGACATGAGATCGCGTAACGACTTAGAAGTAGAAAAAAGGATAAAATCAAATATGTGAAAGATAGTTATCTACTTAAAGAGCATGAGAAAGATGAGGAAAAAATTTGAAACGTGAATATGGTTGCAACGATACGAACACCACTGGCGGGGTGGGGGCATACGGTCACCTCTCTCCATTGTTCTAACCCAGAAGCGGGGCTAGGTAGGGTTGCCAAATCTAACCATTCCTTTTCAACTTTGCCATCAATGACGGTCTGAAATCAACTTTGATGGATGTGGGTAATGGTGGTGTCAATCTGTTGTCTGGAGAAGGACTCTTCGACCTTGAGTGTCCAGATGATATTGTCCTACTGTGTGATGGTACCTTAGCGATGCAATCTGCACTTAATCAGCTGGCAACCAGTGTCCGTGGGTATGGCATTTGCTTTGCACCTTGGCAGTGCAAAGTACTTTTACAAGACTCTCAAGATCCTAAACCTGCACTCACTCTTGGTAGTAAGCAAACATGAGTAGTCGAGAAGTTCGTGTATTTGGGTAGCTCAGTGAGTGCTGTTGGTGGCGTGAGTGACGTTAGTCTCGCTGTAGAAGGTCAGGTCTTTAATGCGTCGGGGAAAGCAGTATTGCTATATGTTTTTGAAAAATGGTCTCTTCGAATTGGAGATGTTAGGTGATTCTCTGCGTCGGATCATCGTTGTCTACGAATGACTATTGGAATTCAGTGGAAACACCGTGTTCTTATTAATGCAGAGGTTCGGCAGCATGTGTTTGGTCACATTGAAGATAATTCGGTTGCTGTCACCATCTTGAAACATTGACTCTGGTGGCTTGGACATGTGCAAAGAATGTCTTTTCCATAGCGACTTCCACACTGTAACCTTTTTGCTGACTCTCGGACTGACTGGAGAGGCAATTAGTTTATGACATGATCTCGAGGTATGAAAGAAATCTGTACAGGATCAGATTTTCTTGGTTCCTTACGACTATCTTGTTGTGGTCCCCGAGATAGTGCAACATATAGAGTTGGAATATTACCAGAAATGGCTCAGAATCGAAGCCAGTGGTGATCCTGCTGTAACTTTGGCTTCCTTCATAAAAGTGGGAGCAACTTTTTTTAACTGAAAAATATCCCTTCTGGTTGCATTTTGCTTAACTGAACTGCTTCTCCCATCATGATTTCACTCACATGCACCAATATCTATACATAGTTTTCCTTGTTTTTGTTATATTCACTTTCCTTCCTCTATCTCTTCACGACCTCATTTTTGTTGTATCGTGCATATATATTTTGGCTTCCTTGTACCAATGTTTAACATTAATACTTAAGTCCATCGACTTCATGTAATGTGTTAAGCTTAAATTTATATCATAAAAACGTAAACAGGTACCATCTTAATAAATATATGGACTTCTGATGACCAAACAGATATTCAATAAATAATTGTATGCATATAATCTTCAGAATGTATTTTAGTTGCATAAACAATAGTTGACTAATTAATTATAATTTGTACAGTTCTTATCAGTACTACCTTGTAACTATTTAGAGTTCAACAGTTGGATAGCGTTTAAAGCTATATATGTATGCAATAACAGAAAGTCGAGTAGACAAATATAGACTTGAAGGTGTTATTTATTAGAAATTGATCCCATTCGGGGTACCAAATTGTGATGAATACCGTCTTCAAATAAAACTAGTTTCCACATAAGCTGTCAGAAAAATAGTATAATTGTAGTCATCAGTCCAGACGTTTAGAACGGTGAGCGGAACAGTTTAGCTGGCCTTCAGCTACTCGACAGTTACCCACTCTTCCCAAACATCCTGAACAAAACATTGGGATAGGCCCCCACCCCCGACTCTAATTGAAGTTCGAAAAGCTATAGCTAATCTGAAACGAGTAAGAGCAGCTAGTCCAGATGGATTGGCTTCAGAAATCTGTAAGGATGGTTAGTCCAGTTTTAGAGATTAGGTTGACTAATATTTTAGCTACCATCTGGGATTTTGGACGTAATCCCATCTGACTGGTCACAATCACTGATTGTCCCAATATATGAGTAGGGTTCAAAATCATCCTGTGATCATAGAGAGATTATTTTGAGTAATACAGCGTCTAAAATACTAGCATAAATAATTATCGGTCGCCTATCTAAGACTCGTGTTCTTCAAACGCGAGAAAATCAGGCTGGCTTCAGACCTGATCGTGGCTGCATCGACCACATATTCACTATTCGCCATGTTTTAGAACACAGACATACTTGTCGGCTTCCGACAATGATAGTTTTTCTTGACCTAAAAGCAGCATTTGATTCGGTAGACCGAAAGGTTCTGTGACAGTGTCTGTCATTGAACGGTGTACCTCAGGGGCGCACAAACCTTGTGAAGGCTCTTTACTCGAACACTACCAGTCGAGTTAGAGCTTATGGTGGGCTGTCATCTGATTATGTAACCTCAAATGGTGTTAGCCAAGGCTTTCCACTGCATAAGAAAGAAAGATTAGTTCAGCGAAGAGTTCTCTTTTCGGCGAATTCATTTTCAAAGCTGTACAATCGCAAATATATATACTTATTTTTACAGGGTGAATGCGAAGATTACCTTTCTTAACGATTGCGTTAAAATGCACAAATATCCTAAATACTACTGGAAAATTCTTCGAAGAAATCATATTTATCCAAACTCGAAGTCTCTTAAACGCCATGCACAAAATGTTATTGACTCTATTCGTCCTCGCATTCCGTTATTGGAATTCAACATTTCACAAAGATCTCCTGTATTATATAAATTATCACCTAATGAACACAATCTTTTCACCGATTATGTTACCACAGTTGACAAACGCACAAAAAACTTAATATCAGACCTCACTAAAAGTTTAAAAACTACAGAAACACATCACAACTTTCCGAACAACCCTGAGAGATATGTGTTTAATCATTCTTCAATATCGTTGACAAATGTACAATTAGAAGCCTTATCTTTGGGGATAAAATTCTGCGACATAAATGAAAAAGTTAGCAAAATCAACAGACATGTTCAATTCGAAAACTTAATCAAACAAACAAATGGTCTTAATCCAATCTCTGATCAAGAATTCCAACGTTTCAAATATACTATTCTTGACAGCTGCAACCAATATATTAGCACAAAAGTAACAGGCAAAAGTCTACTAACAAAAGAACATAGAAATCAGATAAAACTACTTAGAAATAATAAAGACTTGATCATAACACGTCCAGATAAAGGTGCTGGTTTAGTGCTGCTAGATCTCAAGAGTTATGTTGAAAAAATTACAACGTTGTTATCAGATGACACCAAATTCTCAAAACCCATCAATGAGAAAAAGAAGACTGAAATTATAGAAAAGCAACTAATTGATGTCCTTAAGAGAATGAAAAATGAGCAGTTAATCAACGAACAGGTCTTTGAGCACATAAAACCAACAGCACCAATAATACCGCGATTATACGGTCTGCCAAAAATACACAAACCTGGTCTACCTCTTAGACCGATTCTCGATATGTCTGGATCCCCTTACCACCTTATAGCAAAGTGGTTGGCGAATCTCTTAGAACCTGTTAGAAAACTCATTTGTAAACATTCCGTATGTGATACTTTTGAATTTATCGAGCACATAAAAGAAGTGAATGTAAGTGACAAAACTATGCTATCTCTGGATGTGGAATCATTATTCACTAATGTTCCACTCACAGAGACCATTAATTTTATCTGTAAGTACATAAACAATACTAAGATAAACATTGGGATACCTGAGGTTTATTTGAAGGAATTATTACTACGTTGTACTTGCAATGTACAGTTCACACTCAACGATGTAATTCATAGACAGAAGGATGGTATAGCAATGGGATCCCCACTTGGTCCATTACTGGCAGATTGCTTCATGGTCAGTTTAGAAAACAACCAACTCAAAAGAATTATAGAAAACCTCCACTTGTATAAAAGATATGTGGATGATATCTTTATCATTTGTGACAACAAATGTAACTTAAATGATCTCCTAAAGACATTTAATAATTGTCACCCATCAATAAAATTCACACTTGAAGTTGAAAGCAAACAAAATATTCACTTCCTTGATGTAGATATGACAAGAAAACAAGATGGTACTTTAAAAAGATCTATCTACAGGAAACCCATGTGGAATGGCCAACTATCAAATTTCCACAGTTGGGTTCCCATCAGCCGAAAAAGAAACTTAATAATAACTCTCGCCACAAGAATACGAAGAATCTGTAGCCCCGAGGTCGTAGAGAAAGAATTGAGCCTTTTAAAAGCGATACTTATCAAAAACGGATATCCTTCTATATTCATTGATAAGAACATGAAGCCGAAAATGCCAAAACCACGAACAACTACAGTAGAAAAGAAAATTTTCTACATGAACATCGACTTCAAAGGTGATAGAGCCGCTTATATCTTAAAAAGGAGAATTTCGGATTCTTTAAAAAGAACATTCTTCGCAGCAACATTGCAAATATTATTCTCCAGCCAATCACTGTTCATCAATAATCTGAAGGATGAATTATCACATCTGACCAACTCAATGTGCATCTACCAATTTACCTGCTCTTGTGGAGCTAGGTATATAGGTCGTTCGATGCGTACTTTATCCAAAAGAATTCAAGAACATTGTCCGGCATGGCTAAGAAGAGGAGGCAACGGCTCAATAAGAAGTTCTATAATCGAACACCTTGTGAACACAGGTCACTCAATCAAGACAGACTCTGCGTTCAAAGTCATCTACAAGGTAAGTAGAAGCCTTCCTAAGACAATTAGATTGCATCTTCGTTGCATTGCCGAGGCAATAGCCATACATTTTGAAAAACCAGAATTATGTGTACAAAAGAGACTGGTACAACCTCTTCTTTTACCATGGTCTTAATGTATTAAAAATTTTTTTCTTTTCTCTTTCTTCATACTCTTGTTCCTTTACAGCCACCTGCTTCACCTTCCATCTTCCCTTCAAATCTTCTACCCCCAACCGGTTTGTTTTTATTTCCACGATCATTCCGATTACATTTCATCTGTGTTTCAACATTTTCTGTTATTTTATCATGCTGAGCCATCCTTACCCGATGAATACTTAAGCCATTAACTATCAAACTTTCCTTGTTTTAAAATTTTTTTTCTAATACCTTTGTTTATTTAACCTCACTGTCACCATGTATAACAGAAGTTTATTATCAGTATTATTATCACCCTGTAAAAATAAGTATATATATTTGCAATTGTACAGCTTTGAAAATGAATTCGCCGAAAAGAGAACTCTTCGCTGAACTAAGCTTTCCACTATCTCCATTTCTGTCCAATTTTATCATAGATTTACTTCTGGAAATAACCTCGTCGTCTGGATTTTCAGGAATTTATCTCCTACCAGGAGATCCACTTATTGACTTAGAATATGCAGATGACATAGACTTGTTTAGTGAAGACGCTGATAAAATGCAGAGTCTTATGGTAGCACTGATCAACAATGCCAGGATGACCCACGAATGCCCTGGCACGACCGAGAGTGGGGAAATTCCGCTCTCCCTCCCAAAATACTCACTCATGGCCACGCGTATACAGCCACTGTCAGGAAAGTCCTACTCAATACCTTCTCATGGCGGGGTGTTTACGAAATTGTGAGGACAAAAAGTGGATGTTTGGCGCTTTAAACGGGTTGGTGGACACGGAGAGTTCACCTAGAGGAATTGGAAAACCCTGATTCCAAAACAATGGTGCACATGTTCTCCAGGATCGTAAAGGAACAAATGGCGTATGAACCAATCGTTGGTCAGCTGCTACCATAGGACTACATTTTCTGATGTTACTCCACTGACTTGTGGATCAGACCTTTAGCTTGAAGGCTCGGAGTGTAACCCCATAAGAAAACCACCTGCTTCGGTCTGGGTAACCGGGAAGTATCACAGCCAACACATAAATCAAGTGACTTGTGTGTATTCGGTGCCCCTTAGTACTAATATTTATGTGTTCAAATAAATAAATAAAATAATTATGCCAGGTTGTTTGAAATGTGTTTCTCCCCCTCTAAATACAAGTTGTTGCTTCAGGACCGGCCTGCGTCAGCACCTGAACCAAAGATAGGGAGCGAAGCAGTCGAACGCGTTGACAATTTCACTTATCTTGGAAGCCCTAATGGGTTGGTGTCGGACGAAATTTCTGCACTGATTCAAAAAGCTCGTTTGGCTTTTGTCAGATTAAGTCACCTATGGCGAAGGAGAGATATCTGTCTATGAATTAACGGACGGGTCTACTGAGCGACAGTTCGTTTTGTTCTACTTTACGGCTGCGAAATGTGACCATTAAGAGTAGAAAATACTCGCAGGCTACTTGTATTTGACCACAGATTGTGTCCGTCGATCTGGTAAGCCCGCCGACGACGAACGCAACGCAGCAAGCCACGTCGATGAAGGAACTTCTGCACTCTATACGTTCGACGAACAAATTCAGCAAAGCCTGTGCATCATGGTATGGACATGCTCAAGTCGTATTATCTTACTGATACTTTGTACTCATGTCAACCATTCTCATTGATCCATTCGTCGGTTTGCTCCATTACGATTTAAATTATCATTATATGCTTATTATTACATTATTGCCAATATCATGACCGGATGTGGAATTATTAATCTTGTTCGTGCTGTCATTAAATTATGACATTTTCTCAATCATATCACGTCGGGCTCACCAATTTTGTGTCCGTTGATCTGACTCCTGTTTAGAGCGTATGGATGTTTGTTATCGCCAATTCTCGTATATCATCGTCGACTTAAATCACGTTAGTCAATAACGGAATTTCGATAAGTCAAATAACGAGAATGGGATTTTGAATACATATATTTTGTATGTAAAGTGAATGTAATAGAACAGAGCAAAATGATGCGCAGGGAAGATGGCTGGGAAGCCAACTCCATTTCAAGCCGGGCATTACTCAATATTTATAGGCAGACAAAATAAACTACAGACATGTGATGAGTCATGGGACATGAAGTGTACACACATATACGCTCATGTGAAAACAGTCAAGGCTAATAAGCGAATAATTGACAAGGTCAAAATATGACTGAAGTAGAATGAATAGAATGGAATGTCCGAAAACTAGAATAAGATATATTATGGGCTAAAACTAATGACTAACACTACAAGATGTCTTAGAAGTATTGCTCACATCTGCGGGGATTACCGAGTAATTAATAATGAGATTGGATGCAGAGTATTAGGGAATGATGGTAAATCAATTGATGAGCTTGTAAATCTTCGTCGACTGAGATGGTTGGGCTACGTGTTGCGTATACCTGAACTCCGATTACCACGACGCGCAATGCTGACAAGTGTTGGGTTTGGTTGGAAGAACGTTAGGGGCGGCCAAACCAAAACGCGGCATCAACCCATGAAGTCACTAATTTCTAGTCTGAGCCATGTTGGTAGATTCAGGCCACTTGATTAGGGTCTGCGTGGCTATCGCAATAGTTGTTTGGAGACTCTGGAAGACATGGCTCAGAGTCGGTCACAATGGCGTCGGTGTGTAAACTCTTTGTCTTCCTTTAAACCGTGAAACTAAAATTACCTTGTCTTTCTACGAACTAATTTTTTCTCCCTGCATATCTTTATATGCAACCTTTTTCTATATATTACTACCATTGAAGTGACTATTTCCATGACATTGGTGTCCATCTCATTGTGCTAATGAGGTTTGGCAACTTGGACCGATGCATATATGTACCTGGTTCTACGTTAGTTTAAAATCCCACAAACTTATGGCGTAGCCTAAAGTTGAGTAAATAAATTTCTTTTTAAATTCTAAGTTTTCTTAATTCAATTGTATGAAAAAAATGTACTCATCGTTTGTAAAATATAGCCTTTTCTTATCGTCTTTGTAAATCGAACCTTGGTAAATTAATAAAAAGAATAATGGTATTGGGGACATTTGACTAAGAGTATTTTGAAAACTGTATAGATCAGCGCTATCGGTTTTTGTAATTTTAGTGATGAAACGATACTATTTAGGTTTATCACTTCCACTTTTTAGACAACTACATATAGATATGAATAACTCTGCAACAATTATTACTCGTCAAACTGGAACATTTCGTTCAAACTGTATTGATTGCTTGGACAGAACAAATGTGATCCAATCTATGCTTAGTTGGTGTGCATTAGAACAAGCAATGATTGAGATTGGTATATTGCAAGGTACAGTTTCTCGAACAGCCGATGCTAGTACTACATCACCTCTATCTCATTTGTGGCCAGGTTTTGGATTTCGTTTTAAATCGATTTGGGCTAACAATGCAGATTACTGTTCTCTTCAATATGCAGGTACACCAGCCTTGAAAACAGATTTCACTAGAACAGGTAAATTTTGTTTTAGAGCAAATAAGACTTACAAGGTTTGAATTCATATTGACTTTGAAGTAAGTGTTCATTCAAGTAATATATGGGTACTTATGTAATTTAAAAGTGTTTTTTATTTTTAACTGATGTGTTGAAGAACCATTAGTGGTTATAGCTTACGAAATAGTTCTTAGTGCTACTATGTACTCAGTGGTTTCTCAGTAGAAGCGGTTGTCTAGTGGTTAAAACACACTTTCCACTATTAATTAAAAATGGAGTGAGATGTTGAACATCGTCATCTCAATGAAATTGATTTTCACAGCCGCACCATAGTACTTTAACTAAACTCACCTAACATTTGTACCAAGTATAACCCGAATACGAATACATTACTCTGACTTTAGGTAAGGAATACATTTCTTAGAGATCTCTTTTTAAAACATTCTTGATGGCAAATATAAAGGGAAATGGCGACTTTGAGCAACGCTATTTAACAATTACTAGTTTGAAACAAAGGTTATAAGTGGTTCCGTGCCCATATTCGACCTTAGGCGTTTCATGTTCTCTTTCCAAGATGCTAGTAAGCTTCTGGGAATACTTCCCTCTAATACAAAATTGCAGAAAATACTCCTGTCCAATAAATCGAAGACAGACTTAGTGTTAAAGATTATTATCACTGTTGGTCAGTGTTCAGGCAGCTGGCGCAATGTAAGGATACTACTAGGACATCTACACCCTATCTGGTACTTACGAGTCAGTTCCATGCAAGAATTGCTTCATTACAGATTGATGAAACCTGCAATTTGTCACTGTTTTTAAACAACGTACTAGAATGTAATCCTCATCCTTAAAATTGTGAGTTTGAGTCTACTTAACTGAACGTTTTGTAACTATGGTAAATAAAATTCCTTTCGTACTTCTGCTTTAATTATATCATATTAAGCTAAACAAATGATGTAACAACAGAATAAATGGCGATTGAACTTCACATCAATTAGTCAGTGAGTAGTCACTGATTTCATGGCTAGTCTATAGTGCTGGTCGAATTATTTGAGTCAAGTTCGGATGAGGCGATCATGTGAATAGTTCAGTAATAAGATTTTCGACTGTGATACCGAGCGACATGATTCCAACCCTATAAAGGATTATCAGTTCTCTCAATATTTTTTTTGTACTTAAGTTCTACTTTGCACAAAAACTAGGTCGATGACTAGCTACTATTTGTCTCCAGTCACATAATATCAATATCCATAAAATTTATTCGCTATTTAAGATTTTTTCTTTATTAAAAAAATAGGTAAAAGAACATTATATGGTATACTGATGGATGGTTATTATTCAATAATTCGTTATTATTTAAATAATTTCAACGATGGCTTCCGTCAAGATTCAATGCATTTACTTCTTGGCCAATATAAAGTAATGGATGTTAATGGGAATCTTAAGCCATTACATGGACCAGGTGGACCTCCTAGACGTCGCCTAAAAAATTCTGATTCTGAATGGTTTACACAGTTTCTACCACTGGTATTTAGTTTTACCTTAGCTATGTCTGTATTGTGTTGTATCTTTCCTACAGGTAGGCGTTTAACATACTCTGTATTTGATAATTATAATAATGTTGGGTTAAACTATGATTTACGGACGACCTTTGAGCGATGCTTAAGTAACCTTGATAATGTCCACCTACTTAAGTTTAATGAGGGTTGTGAATTGATGTGAGTAATTAGGATTCGCAGTTGGGCATTAGGATTAGTTTTCATCACGAACTGGAATCATGTATAATGCCAAGATGCTATTTAGCCATATGGACGAGTGAATTTCGCGCCAAAATCCAAGATCTGGTGTCTTAAACCTGATTGGTCCATCCGTAAATTACAGTCTCGCCTAGTTTTGCTGTGTAACTGGTTGGAATTTCACACTACATTACATGCTATCCATACAGTGACATAACAATAACAGAACTGTATAGTTGAGTAATTACAAAATCAACTTTTAAGATTTTTCTGCACTAGTTATTTTCAACAGTAAAGTTCAATTTCTCATGCACTGACCATAGTAAGTTAATACCAGATGAATTGTCTTACAGTATGCAGGTAGATAGGTTGACCATGAGATGGACGTACGAATGATGACCGTGGCCAGGTGAATAATGCCCTTACTCATTATGAGTCATTGTATTTGACTTATCATTCAGCCTTAAGATATAATGTGATCTGGTTTCCTTGCTTAATCAATACTGTGTTCAAATCTCTGTGGTAACAATGACCTTTTAATAAATAGTAACTTCCGGCTGATAAATTCCATACTTGAAAAGAAACTTGATTACTCCCTACATCCCGTTTTATCCAAGGCTTACATCAGTGCAGTTATGGCGATAACTGGACACCCTCATCTGTTGAACTACAGGTTGATAATATTTCACAGCACTTCTAGCTGTTCACACTCTGTAGATGTTCTCAGGTTTACAATTTCATATGGTTATTGAAATAATTTTAAGAATCATCGGTGTATTTAAAAGCAGAGGTGTTACATTGAGTCTGAATTATTGTAAGCGGCGTGAGATATTGTGAATATTAGATGGGATAGTTAAGAACCAATTTGTTTAAATAGTTTACAGTTTTTTCTGACTTTTGTCAATTATTAAAACATGTACTTAAATAACATGTTTAGCTCCTCACTGCAGTTAACAATAGCCCTAATGAGTTGGTTAATTTCAGCTTTCTTTGTGTACATATATGAGGTATGGCAACGTAAACCTATGCATACTTACTTCAGGTCTTGTATTGCCTGTGATGGACTATCTAACCCGAAACAATGTTAATTCTGTAAAGGTTGTATTTCGTACAAAATTTTCGAAAAAAATCCATCCTATAGTTCCTTATTTGGTTTATATCTATTTTCAGCTCATTGGACAGAGAAAGCAACTTACGTACTATTCTGGGGTGGAGCTTCAGTTCTTTCTGCTTTAGCAATATTTGCCTACGGTGATGATTTTGTTGACCATCCTCGATTTTGTCCAGACTAAAGAGGATTTTCCAAATCAATTCTTACGATAAAACCCATGAATCCGTAATAATTTCGTTTATTGAAGAATGTAATGCTTGCTCGATAAAACTAAATATTGACAAACATCTTTGTATTTTAATAGGAATATATGTTCGTTTGGTCGACTAACAAGGACATATCTTTTCTGTCTTCTTTCTTTCTTGTGCTAAAAAGGAATCTTTTTATAACTGTGACAACTTTGCTCATTATATTAGTAGTGATTACAATGTCTTTCTTCTGGGTGTTTTCTTTTTCTCTTCATATTTCGAGTTAAGTTTGATCTCGTGAAATATTTCGAATGCTTAAACTAATCAAATCATTGCCATCTGAACTTGAATAAACCAATCCACCTTTAAAATGTCACAAAATTTTCGTTGCTTTTTCAGCGGCTGTTTCAGTACGTAAGTGTGAAAACCTGCCTCGATCATCAATCCTCATAAAAATTAATGAATAGCAGACTTTTCACTGTCTAAATAATTGATTCTAGTGTACCATTGCAACTTCCTTGTAGTTAAATGAAGAAGTAAGATTGTCTTTCTACTGGAACCGCTAAAAAACATCTCGGTTGTCCGAGGCTCTTTAGTGTAGCATCAAGATCATGAGATATAAACCGTGTCTGCAATGCTACGTGGAGAACTGTTCGTAATGTCTAGAATAACACTTAAATCGTGGATCTCAATGTTAGTTAAACAAGTAGTGTAACTTGTTCTTAATGTTGCTTACTCTAAATTGGATATCCCGAAGCTCTTTGGAAGCTAGTGTTAAAGAATTCGATAAGAAACAGTTACCCAAATATAACGCCAGTAGGTTGCGCTGTACAATGAATTGGATGCAGTCAGATTATGAGCCGATGGATGGTTCGTACCAAGTACCGATCTTAGGCAAAATGCCATAGATCGCCAGTGCATACTTCTAAGGAGTGCTGAAGCAGTTCGAAAAATCTAAAGCATTCGCTTTAAAAGTTCTTTGACTGAGACCAGCCTATGATAAACTGCACAATCGTGAGCTCATTGTTGACTCAAGTCGCGGCAATATATATCATAAATATTCATGAAAAGTATGCGATAGGACCCCGCTTGGTGACCATTGAAATACTAATTATCCATACTAGTTGGTCCGTATCATTCTCATTAGATTCGCTTACCGAATTATGGGTTTGTATAATAGGCTTTGAGTTATACTGTTTGTGTGAAAGCTAAACAGCTTAAACGTTAACCGATCACCTCCACATAGACAATAATATTTGAAAGGTTGCACGATAACTGTATTTGATGACAGTGCTCATTTTATTTGTTTATACTGAATCAAAAATATCCATATATTCACAATTATATGTTGATTTCATGTAAGAAATTACTTTCCAGATTCGTAAAAATAATCAAATTAGGTAAAGAATTTCACATTCGGAAAAAGGGAAGTATGCAACATTGAAGTCCTTTTAATTATGATAGACACAAAGTGTAGTTGAAAAAAATGAAGGAAGCTAATAATTTTAATATTTTTCAGAAACGAGCAACTTGCACTTCGCAATCGAATTACAGAGTGGATAAAGTGTTTTGAAATTTCTAGTCCCAACTGCACCAACGACAGTTACTACTAGTTGGCTGAACTGTCTGTGTGATTTTTTGATAGAGGATAATTGATGATAAAAGGGAATATTTTTCATTTTACAAATAATAATTGATTTTTTTTATTCAGAAAAAAATTACGCAGAGAGAGAGAGGGTAATAACAGAATTATTCTTAACACAAATCTCAATCAAAAAAATAAATCAGGATATTAACAATTTGAAATAAACAAACCAAGTGTTTAGAATAAAATATTACATAAGAAAAGGAGAAAACCAAACACAAATCATTGTATTCATCATTTTATTTATATTTATACGAGCCTGTTTGTTTAGATATATCATTGTATATTTACTTCTGTTGTTATTGTCGGTGTTAAAGGCATGCTGTAAAACAAGAGGATATAAATATATATACTGATTCTGACAAATGATGGTCGATATTTATGGACGAAGTCGAACTCGTGTCTATAAAATAAGTCCTCATAAGCAGACCAGTAACTAACGGGTAGTTCATTTAGTTTTATTGACAATTCGACTTTTTAAGAGCTATTATTATGATTTATTTGATATTTTAAAAATCACTAAGTAATACACTTGCTATTTTACAGGCTAATCATTCAATGGAATTTACCAACTAGATGTAGTTGTGCAATCGATTAGGAATTTTAACATCGAAGTACCAGACCATCTACATTCAATTCATCAACTAAAAATAACCGTATAAGCTCGTATAAATGTATGTAGACAACGTTCTTTCTTTTCACAGTTGATGAATCCTTTCAGTAATAAATCATAATGTCAATACAAAAAGATCTCATTGGGAACCAACTTGCAGTTTAATCGTCTTTGTATGGTGGAAATAGTAGTAATGGTAACCAGTGTTCATTACTTTTCAGTACTACTTCTATATTCACATTTCGATTGTTATATTAATGCATATTGCTAATAATCGGAATTATCCATAATTAAAAAAGGTTATATCTGTGTTTAAAATACTAACTAACCTTTGTTATTCATAATCCCATTGTTATTATAGACATGTTGATTATTCTGAATAGAAAATTTACGATTTATATTCATCAATGGACGATTGCACATAACGCCATCATCGTCAGGTGGCGGTGTTGAAAGTGATGATACCGATTCAACACATGATGAATGTTGTCCATTATTTTTGTTGGTAGTAGTACTAGCATTTTCGCATATCACGTGGATCGCATCATCTACAAACAGATTTTTATTCGGTAAGCGATGTATGACATCATCGCTTGATTCAAGAGACAATTCATAGCGGTGATTATGTAATGATGGTGAATTTGGATGTAGCTCCTCATCTGAATGAGGGTGCCCAACTCCTCCATTTTGTTGGAATTTACTCACTACTTTTGAATGAATAAAATTAAAGCATCGAAAAGCAGAAAATAAATCATAACACGTGAAAATAAGGTTCACATAATAAATGACTAATTTCCACGTGCGATAAACTATAATCTAGAAGCATATGTGTAGATTATATCAAGTCAATAAAAGAACTAATAGTGGTCAAGGATAACTTGTGATTGAAATTTTCTTAATATAGCGTTATTGAGAACCCAAATGCATATTCTTGTACATGACTTAAAGCTAAATACGTTTAAAAAGAAGCCCGGTCATTCAAAATAAATTTCATAAACTTGATTTTTCATTTTCAACAACGTAATGAAAAATCGGGTGCCATGAATCAGATACACAAAAATGAAGTTGTATTTTGTCAGTCTCTTAAATTGTAATAATTTATAATCCATTACTAAATACATAATTGATAAAATGCGGGTAAGGCGGGTCAAACAAGTAAGAACGAAAACATTTTTTGTGAATGACTCAGTATATTTTGACTCAATACAATCGATACACAGAAGGTAGGTGACAATCATTACAATAAAATACATTTCATTATATAACTCTCACATATACTAACCCTACAATTGACCAAAGTCATTGAAAGTACACGAATTTTCGACCAATGAGTCTAATGACCCACCATATATTAATAAGATGCAGAAAATGAAGATTCAGTATACTTGAGCAGTCGGAAAAATTAAGAAGCAACAACTTGCATTATATGTTTCAATTACGTCTCATCAATACTTTCAAAAGACACCAAGTAGCGTTAGTCGATCAGAAAGATTCAAATCTGAAAATTACATAACCACTTGTTGTTTATTGCTTTGAATGTTGTCTGGATATCTGGAAGCACAATTTTTACCTAGTTTGGCAGTAACTAAAAATCAAAGAGATTTGTGTATAAGCTTGCAGATGCAAGCATTGCTGACAAACAGAGAAAATTAAATAAGAACAGTCTCAATGTCCGAAATGTTACACGTCGTAGATCATCATACTGTAGCAAGAAATCAACAAGAGTGAAGGAGTAACAAAATCGGCGTCAACAGCAAAGAGAAGAACAACTCTTAAAAAGACTAAAGTCTGTATCAAGATGAAGAGTAGATTAATGTGCAGGTTCCCTACTCGAACATCATCGGTTGAGTCAAAGGTAAATCTTAATCAGAATTGCCAACATTAAGTGGTGTTTACTAAGGTTGCTCACTACCCCCTTTTTCATTTAAATTAGTAATAAATGACATAGAAATAACACCCCAACAAATTTTCCCAAGGCTGATAGTCTATCAGGTCCACAAATGGACCATAGATATGTCGAAATGGAGATTTCTGATCTCCTTGAGCAACAATGAATGTATGTTCGTGTCAGAATGAGTTTCTTTCCCTCGGAATTACAGATTGGTTTGTATTAACACAACCTAATGATAGTGAGTAAAGTAGCTAAGTATGTTGATCAATTCACTCATCTTGGAAGTTTCATTAACCATGATGGACTGACGTCTGGTGAAATCTGTGCACAGATTCAGAAGGCTCAGTTGGTCTTTGCCGACGTGCGTTAAAGATATCTGTATGCTAACACAAGTCCAATTGGCTTCCCATTACTGTATAACTGTGAAACAGTTTATGAAATTAGAAGATAAACGTATACTGAAGGCTTTGACCATAGGGTCACGAAAACAAACTCAAGTTCGTGGAATAGCTTACTTCTATATAAGGTAAGTGCTGATGATGTTGGGAATTGGATGCCACCAAAAGCATTTATCTAAGCTTGAAACTTTCTCCGTCATTTAAAACTCAAATATTTTAACGAACAAAATCATTAAAATAAAATACTGAAATAGAACTTACTGGGTGATTTGAATTCGAATGGTAAAGGAGTAGTAGTATCAGATACCATGTGATTTTTCGGATTTCCCATATCAATACTACTAATGCTATGTTGACAATTAGAAGTATTACCATTGGTTAGATGTAAATTTGTTAAAGATATAGTAAGTTGTGCATTATTTTCTAGGTTTTTATTTGAATTCTTTTCTTCAATTTTAGCATCACTTTCTTGTTTACCAAATGAACTGAACAATGGTAAACTATGATAACTAATAATTGTTAAACAACAGGGATTTTGTTCGTAAGTCAACTGAGAATTTATTGAACGTGTAATCCAATCATTTTCAATTGTATATAGTATATCATCAGCAGAATGATTATCTTGACGTAAAGAAAGTAACAGTTTATCATCTAGACCCAGAATACGATCACCAATCTGAATATCGGTTCTAGAAGCACATGAATTCGGCTCAATACGAACAACAACTGGTCCACTAACACCCGGGCCACTAACTAAACGTAAACCTAAATGAATATTTGATATATGACTAGAATTGGTGTTAGTATTAACTGGTGCAGCTGGTAAATAAATCTGTCGTACAAAAAATCCTCCACTGCCTCTTCCAGCTAATTCTAAAGCCTTTTCAATTTCTTCTTCATTTAAAGGTGTCATATTCAACATTGAATCAATTTGGTCTTGTTGATTGCTTGAATTAATTGCACAATAAGTAGATTCAGGTAACCGATAATGATTATCATTCTCACGATGTCCAAATCTAATTTTATTATTTTTACTTTCATCATCTTCATCTTGTAGTTCAGGCAAAGTGCACATATCTCTTAAAAAGCTTGGTGTTTCAATACATGGCATAATACCACCAAATAATGTCGGTAGTTCTAGTGACGGAGGTGGATAAGGTGGGAACATATCATGTTCATCTTGTTGAATTCGATGAGATGGAGATAATGAAGAAGTGACCGGTGGTGGAGAAGGCTTAAAGCACTTATCTGATATAGCATTATTGTTAGCAGATAATGGTGCGTTGAAATACGGTAAACGACCTAATTCAATTGTACAATACAGTAGATTGGCTAATAGCTGGACCACTTCGGTTGGGTTCAACCAATCTACCGGTTCACGATCTATACTTAACAGGCGATCACCCGGCTAGATAAGCAAAAGAAAAGATTAATAAACATTTGGAAACTCCACGGTATGGAATAAAATGTTTTCGTGGCAGGAAGTATCTATAAAATTGGGATATTTTCGTTAATTCCTTCAAGTTGAAATATCTCTTTGCTTTACCATTTATTTCAACATACTCAAATTGTCACTATTTCTATCAATATGAGTATGACTAGAATTCCCAATATTAAAATTATTAGATTTATAAAAACAAAACAGAAATCTAATTGATAATAACACTATTTGCTTGTCTCAGATAATAACGAGATATATACCTGAGTTTCCTTATGATGCTGACTCAATCGTAATAAGTTGATTAGAATATTTACTTCTTGAAGTCCTACTTTTGTTAGTGAGGTATGTTACATATCTATTTGTTAGCGGGACATATATTAAAACATGTTCCGTGCATGATTGTGTCGGTGCACGCTAACTGGCTAATTTGTATCCAATCAGCGCCAATCGACAGTTGAAGAACACTCTAGAATCTTCTCATGTAAAAACTATAAATATACTAACGTTTTTTTCTTATTGTGCTTCTTACTTCCATCTACCCTTGTTATTTGAAATATAATTTCCTTCCTGTTCAATCGTGTTCTGATTTGGGGACTTGTCGAGTGAATTGATGTCCAAGAATACTAAGCAATAGGAATAGCTGGGTTGTAATCAGAAAAAATTATAACACTATTAAACTAAAAGTAATTACTGTTACTATGTAAACAATTCACAGTCCATTGACAGTTCAGAGGTGAAGTTGTACTGTTAGTTGAATAGGAAAGTAAGGACTGTTAAACAATAGCAGTTTGATACTTTGAATTATCCAACGGTTTCTTTATGATGCAATACCTATTTATTCGACAATGTATATCTCAAAAAATAACTATGAATACAATTGTACAGTTTTAACGAACGACAGTGTCGACATGCTCAAACTTCTCTGGAAGATTTACTGCAGTCAAATATATGATATTGAATAAAGCGATTAATATCATCAAAATTATTTAAAACAGAGCATTTTTTAACCATCCTAGTTTTAATGTACATTAGTAAAACAGAAGAGAAGCAACAAACGACTACTTACCATTATCATTCCTAATCGATCTGCTGGACTGTCATGTTGAATACTATCTACGATTAGTCGAATGTGTGAGTCCCATAATTCTTGTGAACTCGCATAACGAATACGCAAACCAAATGCAGCTGAAGCAATTTCATCATTGTTATTATTACCGTCATCACCACTAATCTTCTGATCGCTGTTTACGGTAATACAGTTGGTTGATGATTTTAAATCGTGTAATTCATTTTCATCAGTTTTTTGACAGACAGAATCAACAAGGATATCAGGATCATTAGAATAAGGTTTTCCCGCCTGAGGACGATCATTACAAAAGCCAAATTGACGACGTTCAAGTACAACCACATAGACATTTAATCGATTTCGAGGATAGGCTATGAGATAAAATGCAGATATACGGATATACTCATATTTCTCGTTATGGGATCATAGTATACAGGATGCAAATACAACGGTATTATAACGACATTTTAAAAACAACGAGTGATGAACGCATTCACACATGCTCTAAACAATAGGATGACTCATATCTACCGTAACACAAACGTCTAAATATCAATTCGGAAATTCCAAACAAATACACGCCAGCAAAACTATTTAGTAATACATGAATCAGTACATAGTTTAGGAATTATATTAAAGTATAAGTGATTAAAAGAACAGGAGAAAAAGATTTCCGGTGCAGTCATATAGAAACATTTGTACATTATTGCATCACATATCAGTTAAATTTTTTAGATAAGTCGGTAATAATACTTGTGTTTACATAAGAGAGATCAGGAAAGTTAAAGAAAACTTGAGAAAGGAGTTAAAATAAATCGTCCACAATAAATTTTATAAAATAACAAATATAACACATGAAATAAGAGGGAACACTTCATTATGAGCAAATGAGTGAGGCATAAATGTTAACTGTAAAAATAAAATTTCGTACTACATGCGCAGAAAAACAAAGTCAATCGCACTATCTGAATATTTTGTGTATATAACTGTCGTTTTTGATTTAGATTATGTGGTTCAGTTGTAAAAAAAATTTATGTAGTTTTCATCATTTTCATTCCTCCTATTATGTTAACCATTCATTCGATTCTCCACTTGCTTCTGTGAGGCATATGTCCATTTGTTTTTTGTAAAGATTATTTCACATCAAATGATTAACTATATACAATGAAATAAGTGGGGACTGGATAAGTAGGCAGGCAGACAAATAAGCTAAAACTAACGGCCTACATATAGCGATAATAAATGACAATGAGGAACACGTACGGAGAGAAGAAACATTAAATTGGATGATAGTAACGAGAACAACAACAATGCATTTCATAGAATAAAATATGCAAACAGATGCATTGGATAGTATGGTGCAAAAAGAATGAACACAAAGGTCCGATCAAAGGGATAACGAAATGAAGCAAGATAAATATGAAGATTATATGTAATACGTAGTCGTTATCATCACAAACAACAACAATACCGAAAACAACGAAAATAATAATTTCGACACAGAGGAGCAACGTAACAGCAGTTCGAGAAAAAAATAAATAAAAGAAGAGAGGGGATAAAACAATTTTTGTTTGCTAGCAGTAGACAATTATGATAAAAAGCGAAATAATTATTCAGATAAAGATGAGACGTAGTGAACTTTGGTGTTTACTAGTAAAGTCACAGGTTAGAAAAAGGCTAGCGAGTGTTGTCAGATAATCAAGTTATTCACCGTTAGACTAACAGTGCTGGGAAGCGAGAGCTTCTTGATTGGTACGTGTGTGGTAATCATCAGGTAACATGTTTAATAATCATTTGTAGGGGAACAGAAGTATTCTTAAGTTATAATATATAGCTTCCCACAACCATAATTCTTAGTAATTTCGCTTCTTTACTTTCCAACTTCATAAATTCATCTTTCTGTATCATCAATAACAAAATTACAAAAATATTTAAAACCGTAAGGCAAAACGATGTTGATCATTCATGAAAGTGTTTTAAAAAAATCAACCAACGATCCAGATAAATCGAGCTTAAACGGAAGCATACAATTGGTTGAAGGTGTAAGGATTACAATTCCTAACCTTTACAATAATGCTTTCACAACCATCAACTTTAGAAATGAAATGACGTCTAGAGGAAGAATAATCATATAGCTTTCATTTCTATTCATAATTACTTAATGATCATCTATTAAGTTATATTAACGTCAGTTGAATATTTTTGTATATGAGGGATAATTTATATTCATTATTAATACATATTCAACCACTCAGTGAGTGAATTTGTCTTCCAAATTGTCATTACAAAAACTTTATTATTCATTTTTTTTAACCATTATGACAATATCAGCATAGTTAATGAACTTTATAATTTATCGATTACCGATCACGTCTAAAAAAGTACAAAATGTGGAGGGTTTGTTTACAAATAAGTTTAAATTTACGAACAAAACAAAACACAAGTGTATTATATGAACATACCATGCATTGATGGCCCAGTTTTGTAACGTCCAATCAATAATTTCACGTCGCTATGTGCATTCTATATGCAAAAAAATAAATAAATAAACACGTAATCATGAATGAATATAATCCATTGGTTTATGTAATGACAAATAGAATATGTTTATCAAGATTTCAAACTTTAATTGGAAACTGTAATTCATATTTTATAAAACTGTAAAATTTAATTAAAACTAATGTCTTGCGCATATATATATATATATATATATATATATATATATATATATATATATATATATATAAAATAGTAGATTAACTGTCACTAATTAAAAAATATGCTATGGTAATTTATCTGTTATTTGTAATTCTAATGGTCTTGGAAAGAATAGTTGTTGAATATTCACTACAAATAAAGCGTACAAAAATGACATGCGGTATATTAGATAGCTTTTTGTCTTATTCAATAAGTTCTGGCTCTCAATCACATTTGATTATTCGCCCGAGGGTATATTACTGAGTAGTTCCATGTTATCACACACTTATAACTAGGCGAACAAAAGTTCAAACTTTTGAAGCAATCGACATATTGTCAAAACACCCACAGACATTAAATCTAGGACAAGAAATTTAAACATTTTTATAATAAGTAGTATGTTTGTAACTAAATTTATATTGTTGTACATCTACTTAACCTACAATCTAGAACCTACATTCACTAAGAAAACAACACTAACTAACCTTTAATAAATTGACTACTTCATCTGATTTAGCCAAACGCATATCCCAACCATTAATTTCTAAAATTATATCACCAACTTCCAAAAGATTTGAACGAGCAGCTGGACTATTCTCTACCTGGTTACAGAAAAGGAGAAAACAAACCATCGAACAGAGAAATGTGTGAGATATCATAGCTATATTTCGATGGGAAATAGCTGAAACGTACATGAAATTCAACACGAATCACAAATTGACCCAAATCACTCTGTTGACCAATAAAATTAAACGTTGTAAAATAAAGAATTGAAGTAATCGAAATCTTCTATGAATCATTGTGAATATAAGGTAGGCGATAAAGTGAATGGTGGGGAATTAACTGAGTAAAGGTAACAAAAAAACAAAGTTCTACACTCCATGCACATTCAAATGATTGTTATTTTATATTGAATAAAGTTTGAATTAATGATGATCATAGGAACACTATTTTGGGAGAAACTATCAATCACAAATATACGAGGCTGACCATAAACTCATGGTCAGCTTTGATCTATAGTAAGTTAACTAACTACTGTGAGACGCAGCTACTTGAGTACTATGAAATTTTAAGAACATTCAGTTTTACCAAATATCGGAAAAATAACGGAAGAAACCCACTAATTTACTGAATACAGAAGGAAATCCAGAGAAAATGTTCTCTTCAACGATATCATTTACTAAATTTGTACAATCGTATTTATGGTGGCTCAATCAATATATAAGTCTAAACAAGAATATAAAGAAACCAAATTATAAAGACCTCAGAGATTTCAAGTACCAGAAGGTTGCGTAAAAATCTCGAAGTTGAAGAAACGTAGGAAGATGGAAATAATTTAAGGAACATACATTAAGGAAATAATCGTCCACATGATAGATATAAAGAAAAGACGAAAAATATATAGGTAATAATAACAATTGAATAATAATTGATATATATATACTTACAATGCCTCCAATAGCTGTACCAGTCGAATAATGAGGTCGACCAATCAATGACAGACCAAAACTTTGTCCAGGCATATCACGTTTCAAGTGAACATTATGACATTCGAATACACCTTGATTTATATATTGTGGTTCAGGATCTCTGTACACAACCAATTGGATACAGTCATCAGCTGTTCGTATAATCTGGTAATTGAAGTAAACATAGATGAAAAGTTAAACAGGACTAAAATTGGAAGTTAAATTTTACGGATACAATGTGTGGAATTCCTAGCAGCAATCACTGGTAAAAAGAAGTCATGAGAACAAAACAAAATACCTTTGTGGCATCTTTTTGGGTAGCTTCACGAAGATCGATCCCATTGACAGCTAATAAGCGGTCACCAACTTGAAGCCGACCATCACGTGCAGCAGCTCCACCAGAGTGCACTTCATGGACCAAAATGTTACTCTTTAACGAAACAAATAAAAAGGAGCAGTGATTCACTGGTAGTTAATCTAATATGCTTAGACGAATTATGTATGTGAAAGACTATCTTTCGATAGGAAACTTAGTACGATCGTTCGGTACGCAGTTCATATTACGGAGACATCCTCACGACGAGGCCTAGTAGTTCCGTGTTCGATCTTAATTTGAGTTGTGCACAAAAACTCTTAAGGAGCTATATGCTAAGATGAAACAGCTCCTCAATGTTCCCCATAGTTCAATGTTCGTCTAAGTAAAATCAGTCAATCATGTAAACTACAAATCTAGCTCATATCCCACATGATGTGAAATTGTAGCAAGTTAACATCAAGTAAAGAGTAGAAAAAGGGTAATTATTTCCATATAATCAAGCATATCATATTATATACGTAAAATCAATAAATAGGACTGAGTAAGAACAAAGATTGGTCCAGAATAATATGAATTCATTTTATTTCGTTAGGTTCTCATCAGCTGCTTACAACCTATAATATTTCAAAATCAAAGTTATTATACTATATATATACTTATAAATACGAGGGTGATTAAAGATGAATATATGTATCATGATGTAGCGAAGATTTTAATACAGTTAATAAGGTCATAAAAGTCCTTTTGTTTCGGATGAATAAACTCTGGGAAGGAAAGTTCCAGAACATTGAAATAATGATTAGAGCTCATGCAGTTAACAAACATTAGATGATAGTGCAATCAAGCAACTGAAACTAGATTAATGGTAATAAAGAAATGTAAGAATTGAAATCAGTTAGCTATGAATTGAAGAAAAATGACAATGATGTAATTAAACTTCAGAAAGAGTTGAAATAATCATCATTTATATTTAACCAAATAGCACATACCAAAACTGTGTCACTTCCACCGACAATCGAGAATCCGAGACCTCCGTCAGTCTTGTACAGAGTAACTGTAGCAGGAATCCCAGGTATAATGGATAATTTATGATGCTTTATATCATTGTCTGGATTATCCCCTGTTGTAGTTACATATCCAAATTGTAGCATTTGTTGTGAGTCACTGTGACAAGGTATTTGCCTACCGATGGTTAGGCGTACAGATTTTCTTGATTTTTGCAACAATTCCAGTGTACTTTCATAATCACATTGAAGTTGACCATCAATAGCTAGTATACGATCATGAGGTCTAAGAACTCCTTGCTGCAAAAAAATAATCGATGAAGAATGTATTTTACGACATCCAAGAAACATTTATAAGCATTACATTCAAAAAATAAAGGAAACCTATAAGCAATCCAGATCAAGACATGAAATCAGCACATAAAGTGATGGACTGAGCAGCGTCCTTAGACAGTTGAGGTTCTATTGGGGCTGCTAGATCCCCAGAGATCACTTAGCATATATATTTGGTGCCCTCTTGTATCAATATTTATGTGTTGAAATAAAAATAAAATAAAATAGATAAAATGGACAGCCTGTACTCATTTACATCTTTATTTTTACACTACCACATATATTAGTGCTCATATATTGAAAATCTGCTCTCCTTATAACTGTGTTGGTGCAAAAGGTGAGAAATTGAGCCAATGTACGTTTATTGCAGATTCCAAAGCTATTTACGATCATCTAATTGAACGAAATTTTAGAAAATTAGATGAACTTTAGTCCAACACTGATTTACATATTTTATTACAAAATATAGTACTGAATGTTATTCGCACTTTCATTTCCTAGCAATTTTAAAAACATATCTAAATAACGGAATAATTTTATGTTTGCGTATAACTTTAATAGTTAGTTAACCCTAAACTAATCACAGTGTCCCCATAAGTTTTTGGGCCTATCAAGAACAGTACACTATTATAGTCATACAATTTTGTTACTCCAGATGAGGATAGCCAGTTCTCCCGCCACTAATACTTAGAAGTAATTAGTATAAAAGTAATGAAAATATGATTCAGAAGCACTGAATTACATACTGTGAGATCCACTTACTAGTTGTGCTGGGCTGTTTGGACGGATTTCGCTGACGAATACACCAGGTTCATTGTTTGGACTCAAATTAACGATGAAAATACCGAAACCGTCTGAACCCTATGAAAAAAAAGAAGGTTGAAATAAATCAACAGTTGAATATTGAGGATTTAACACAAAAGGATCGATACTCCCTTAACGCATCTGGATACTCAGGATTCGGTGAGTATACTCCTAAAGATAATCTACAACTATTCAACATTTAAACACAAAGAAATATTGTGCTACAGATAATCAACTTGGATTATTCTCAATGATCACGTGAAGAAAAATACAATTCGCTTCGATTTTAATAGGACAGTGTGAGAGTGGAGGTGTATAATAAGATATTTATCATTTATAAGTAACATAGATTGGACAAAAAAATGATAAACTTATCTATTCGCGTGATACAGATAATACATTAACAAGAAGTCCTTTCATTCAATACACACTATAAGATTTACACGGTCACTACTCCGCGGTTTTCTTTTAAAAAATGTAAGACGCTTCAAATGATTTGAGTGGTAGCTTTACCATCTGATTACTACAACAATAATAATTTCTAAAAGTCATGCTTAGCGAGTTTATTTTCGATAACATGGGATAAAGGTCAGATCACGTTTTTTCTAATGTTAATATTTTGTTCGGCATGATGTCGGTTGCATTTTTCAAGTAACACTTATTCAGATGTGTACTTTGAGTATTTTTGTAGTAACATCTGTTTATTTACCATACGTAATATTTATTAACTAAGATGTGTAAAGTTCCATATAAATGAGTGAATTTTAAATTAACGGCGACGTGTTTGAAGAGCCGATAAGATTTCTATTACCACTAGTTAGCGTAGTGGAAATCGTAGTGGATCCTCGATTCTAGTATTAACAGTAGGACCTCAGCCATTACAGTTTTACTAATTAATATAATCATACTATTCATATTTTATGTAACACTATTTAATCTAAAGAAAATGAACAAACGCGTTTTCTAGTTGGATAAATCTATTAGTAAAATTAACTAGGAAACCAAATGAGAACAAAAATAAAATGAAAAGGCATATTGTTTATGATTTGTATAGTGCAGTAACAGATAAACAATTGATGTTTTTAGTAGTTATGTGCAAGTTCACGAACAGGACACAGGAACGTAATAAATAGTTGTTTGAAAACAAAAAAAAATGAGCTGGTACTCAAACCGGTTTTCGAAATATCAAGGTTTGTTTCAGTACGGATTTTGAGACAAAACGTCGACGCAGTTAAAGGGTATAGAGGACTTTTAATCCTACAATAATTAAGCATGTTACTCGAAAAGTGCTACTTTTTACACCGAAAATTCTATATTTGTTGAAGAGATCAAAAATATTCCTCGGAATCGCCCAGAAACGCTGGGAAACATTTTATCCATTCAGTATTGAATAGAAGTTTCTCAGAAACATCTAGCTATATGTTTAGTAAGGTTCCAGAAGCCCAAATCCACATGAAATGTTATAAATACTCTCAGCTTTCTGTGCATGAACGAACCTTGGAGTAAAGCGTTATTTCCATATTCCGCTCCTTATCTTTTGTGTTCAAGTTGTTGTGTAGATTTAGCCTGGAGTTATTAGAAGAGCTTAGGAAACCGATTCAAGCATTAAATCAATTTTTTAATATTGTACTAAAGATATAACAGTGAATGAATTCATTATCAATAACAATATTTATTATCATATAAAGCAATATTCGTGAGAATTCAGAATAAATATGATGAAAACAGATTGAAAATCACAACCGACCATGTGCTGAAAATGCTCTACTATGGGTAGTGCGATTAGACCATCACATTTATTAGCCTCAATCACACGAGTTACCCGATTTATCAAAATAATATCAAGAGTAAAAACAAGATCAATACTTAAAATATATGTTCTTAGTCCTATTTGTACATTCACACATTACACTTAATGGGACTATGATGCACAGGATTATTCGGGACAAAGTAACTTTAATGAAGAGATTAATACCTATTATCATATCTATTTTCTTAACAGTGCATATGACGTTGTTACTACATTAATTCAAATGAAATGTGATGTGGTTCTGTGGTAAAGGTAATCAACCTTCAACTATTAAGTCGGTATCAATGCCAAAGTTGAACTTAATATTTTCAAATAAATTGAACATTGGGTAGAAAGTTAGTAATAAATATATCTTTTTGTTATATCCCAATGAGTAGAATAATTATATTTCTGAATATCTCTAATATGGCTAGCATCTCTACACTACAATAAACCAAATAAAGACGAAACACTGTGTGAAACGATTTTGGCCAAATATAATTATTAGGACAATATAAGATAATTATCAAAATATTTATATTTCTTTCGTCTTCGATAAACACAACAAAAAAGTCTGTAGATGCTTTTCATCACAAAAAAGTATATTCTTTCTACTTACTCTCTCCAATATAACGTCGAATAGTTGAAATTTCCAAAAATCTTCATTTAATTCAACCATGATCTCTTTTAGAAATGTATGTGGAATTGGCTTTGAACCAGTTGGTAATGGATTAGGTGGTGATGACGATAACACTTTTGAACAGGTGCTCTACAAAAAAGATACGTTTAACATAAAGAAACAGTACTAAAATAGACTAAAAACTATTAGTATGGAAATAAATTATCATTGATAATGCTTTAAAATATGAGACATTTTTTTTATAAAGATGAGCGAAAATATCAAGCTTCATTCAATCAATTATATTATTTCAAAAATGTATATATTCCCAATAGTCACATGAATTCTAGTGAAGGTAAGAATGATGTATAACGAGTACTAGTAAATATAACAGTTTCAGTACATAAAATACTTCCTTTTTAGAAAACTTATTCTCTCTGGTCTGAGTTCATTCAGTAGTATTGTGTTCAGTCAAAATTCGATTTAAAAGAGATGGTATCCGATCAAAACCTTATGTAAATTATTATGTTTGTATATCACTTCATAAAGTGTTTTTGATGCATCTGAAAAAATTTATTTTTCTTTTAAGGTCAAGACCTCAATATGAAACTGTTAATAAGTGGATCTAATGATGACTCTATTAGCTACTGGAATAAACATAAACTAGGTAAACTTTTTTATATTGGGAATTATAATTAATTAGTTATATGGGTATTAGTACGTACATACACAAAAAATCCTAATTCATTATCAATGTGAATTGCCTGAATAGTAAATAATAAACATCTCAATTCATTCGATAAAGTGTCCAAGAACAAAGTGTATTGCAATCTGACATCAGATTATAATACGTTGATTAATTAACACGGCATGCAATTTGAAAAAGGTCGATAATTGGTGCAGATATTTTGACTGGGTATTCGGGTAGTAAGAGGATTACTTCATTTTGAAAAAAAAAGGATAACGTACCGAGTCAACCATGTTGAGAGTGAATAGGTTACCTATCGATGGCAATAGATAAACACTATGACAGACTGATGTTGGGAACGAAAGAATGAAATCAAGTATTTTAGGTTAAATGTGTCAGATGAAAGACGAAATGTGAAAGTTCTTACGTAAATTAAATGTGGTTTAGATAACTCATTGATAGTGTTTTAAATTAGGACTAAACAGTTGACTAATGCTTTAAAACTTATGAATTGATGGCAGCCTATAGTGGAAACAATCGTCGAATATATTATTAAACTTGATTTTTTTTTCCAGTATTTGAAATAACTCTCAATAACAGATATGTCTTTTAATTCACTCACATTCATCATTTCAATTAAGTAACTGAAACACCCAAGTGATACGAGGAAATGAAATCGAGAGGGTTCAAAGAAAAAGTTATATATTATATTAATTATAAAAATTGTCAACTAATTCACAAATTCAATTTTTTATTGATCTTAAAGTTGAAATCACGATGTTCCAATCTTGACAAAAGATTAAAGTAAAATCAACAGCCTAACTAGGGGTGGAAACCACGGTACAGATTCTATCCTATTCGAAACTCACTAGATTTTTGTACTTACATATTGATATTGGTGTTTTTAGTGAGACCTGGACCTAGTACACATAGCATTTAACACCAGAGTTATTCACTGAACTCCAGGTTAACAACAGCAACCCAAATTATAGAATGTTTATACTTACATTATTTCCATACTGTGGGAGACAAATGTTTAAGCACAATTTTGTTCAATGACAATACAAATCAAAAAAAGGACAAAATATGATTATTTTAGAATATCAAGCAATGTTTCTTAAAAATCTATCATTAGCTGATATAAATTGGAAAAAAAATATTGCAGTGAGATTAACTTACACCAGTCAAATTATCTACACTCAACGGTGAATCATTGCACTCCCGTGAAAATGACATTAATGACAAATTTTTTGGATTTCGTCTTATGATTAGTGTAATGAAAGATTTGATAACTGATTGATCAGAATCACTCACTTGTCCATTATTATCATTACCAATAAAATAATTATTACTTGAGTTATTGATTGAATACTTATTCGACATTAATTCGGTAATTTTTGAGTGGATAATCTGTTGAACGGAGATATGATCTAACCCACAGACATTGACGTCTTCAACCTAAATATCGGATATAGACGCACGTAAGCGAACAGTATAAAACAAATGAAAAAGAAACACGAAAGAGGCATTTAAAATAGTACATAAAGAATGTATGATATAAAAGAGATATTAAACCAACTATAAAAAGGCATATGACAGTGTGGATAGAAAAATCTTGTGGAGGCATCTTCGATACTATGGTGTACATGAGAATATTGGATAACTTATGACCCTCCTTGAAGGATAACAAGCAAATATAAGCATGTTTAACACCCGTTAAGTATAGTGTAGCAAACTGCTGAGCAGTAAACTTGTCCTTTGTTCGGAAGACGGCTATCTCACCTACGCCACTGTTCATTCAAGTTAGCATAAACCAATCGAGTTTTCTGAATCTACCGAAATTTCACCAGACCCCAGATCATCAGTACTGATGAAACTTCCTAGATAAGTAAAGCGATCGAAACACTCAATTACCTCACTCCCTATCACTAATTCAGGCGATGACGCAATTCAATCCGCATTCCAAACATGTTTGCATTGTTCTTATGTTGATCAGGAGACCGTATTCTGTCAAAGACTTCACCAAACTGAACTATAACATTTGGGTATTCTAAGTCAAAAACTGAACCTACTGATAGAAAACCAACCTCTGAAAGGTTAGAGAAGGAAGGTACTTTCTCTGAGAGCATTTCCTGTAGACCGAAAAACTAGATCTTTCAAGATTAAAGGCACAGCTGGCCAATGAGTGACAAATAGCACAAAACGTAGGTCCAAGGTTGTCTGTCGATTATCCACAATCACTTTATATGTAAGACGTGTTCCGGAGCCACGAGTAATGACAAATAAGCAAAAACAGGTAACTATTAAAAAAGAGTAAGATACATTCATTTAACCATTTAGAAAAGAGCAAGAACAAAGATAAAGGGAACTCCGTGTATGAAATTTCTCAAAAAACGCCTACCTGAACAATTAACCAATTAGATTGTGATTGTGCAGGCAATTTTACTGGATAAAAAGTACTGAAAATGTGGCAGTCATTTTGTTGTTGATGATGAATATGAACTACATGATTAATGGCAACAAATTTCGAAGAGTCAACATTTAATTGCTGTATTTTATTGACTGAATGATACACATTACCACGTGAGAATTAAAACTTTGTTATCCATTATAACTAACCTGTACAATTTCATCTCCACACTCAAGACCGCCACTAGAATCCGTTTGACAGCTTGCAACAAATGTAGCCATACTCTCGGGATTAGAACAGCTTACAAGATGCAAACCCAAATTTCCCGTTTTTTCGTTAACATTATGGGTGTAGTTTGATGAAGAATTAATTAGTAATGGTAGATGAATAACGAGTATCTTATCTTGGCTATCACGTGTGTACAATTTCACAGGACCATAGAAATTTACTAAAATATATTGTATAATGAACAAAATAGAACCAATTCAAAGACACAAAACCAAGACAGAGGGATTACAACAAAAGAAAAATATTATAGGAAACGTTTAATTGTAGAATTGGTTTTAAATGTTCAACCGATATTAATAACATAAATTCAATGCAAACCGGGAGGTAGATAAATTACAACAGATAAATATCGGAACCTATAGATAAGTTGAACAATTTGTAAAGACCATTGAGTCGTCTATGCATTTAAAAATAACCTTCAATGATATTTACTTTTTGCATAACGATATTTTGGATAAGAAAGTTTACTAGCGTAATATTTTACAAAATGAATAAGTTTCGCTGGTCATTTGTTAAGTTTCATAATACCCGTGTGATTTGTATCTTTTATTTGTTTGCCTGAGAAATCTTAGCTCTTTAAATTAGTACAGATTGATCAATGCGCAATTTTTACGATCTGTAAAGAACATGTCAACCCTATCAGCTTAAGAATCTCACGATAAAACAACTGAGTAAAATCAAAATACTTTTGATGAATGCTGCAACTATCTGTTGTACGATTGTTTTCTTAGAAGCACGGTTCAGTGGTAGTGAGTAACACAATATAGAGTTGAGAAATTTCCACGACTGATCACTTCACTAACTTGGAAACATACATTCGCTCAAAACTGTTAGCAGCCGAAAAATCCTAAACCAGATGTAAAAAAATTGCCGTCGAGAACCTAGCGCCTGTCAGACATGCATACGTCTATGAAACGTAAGGTGTGTGCACATGTAGGATCCTGATTCTGTATTACTGCACGAATAAGAAGATAATTATCTAGTGAATTGGTGAGAAGTATTTGATATAAAATTCTGAAGCACTTGGATTTCATCCTCCACATCACTAAGGGACTTTCAAAGAAATTAAACAATTACGAATTGTTGTAAATTACACAGTACTAGACATGTGATTCGGATTTATAGTGTACATCGATGACTGCACATAAGATCGAACCTACATTTCTGTTTCACTAGATGGTAAAAATGAAATTCGAAAACCAATGATTACAATGAGTTTCTAAACTTACATTCATTTACATTTGAATCATTAACTACCATAGGTTTTAAATAACCAGTCGGCTCTTGTTCTTTAGATGTTGTAGACAATCGTCTAGAAGGTAGTAGAGGTGGAGGAAATGATGAAGAACTAGAACTACAAACACTGTCACTAACCCAGCCATTTTGTAGTTTTGATTTTTTATCGCATTTTTCATACGTTGAAAACATAACATCAGTACTGACAGCGTTATCCTCATCTTTTAAAATAGGCGATGAAAGTTGAGATAGTGGACATAGAGTAGTTTTCCTATGTGTATTATGCTGTGAATCAGAAGAATTATTCGGATCTGGCGACGGCACTGATCGAGATAAAATATCCACCACATCACGAGACTCCATATCAGTCTATAATGAGGAAGAGAGAAATTAGAAGAAACGATAACAAAAATAAAATTCTTGATTACTAACAGAACTAACATTCAGAATTCATCTAGCTACACTCTTCTCAGACATAATCGATGTAAAAAATATCGCACGGTTTGTTGAGTTTCACAGCTGTTATGTTTTGTATATAATAAAAAATTGGAGTCGAGAGGTGGCTCAGTGATTAAGGCAATTGACTTTTAGCAATTAAGCTGTAGGTTCGGTTTGGGCATCTGGATAGCATCACCAGTCTTTACACTTTTAGCGTGACTCCAACCCAAGTAGACGAATCGGTACCTGTTAAATCAGTTAAAGATTCTATTGTCAGTATGTTATGGATGCTCCAGAACTAGAATAAATCAAAATCATGCTGTCAAACGTGAATTGATGAGTTTTATATATGTATTTGAACAAATAGGCATTGGTACAAGTTAAAAATACCAGTTAGTGTTTTGGTATGATGTATAAAACAAAAACAAAATAAACACCTATCCCAGATTTTATAATCTAAACTTCAATCATATAGTGAAGATCATCTAATACTATCAATTTCGAAATTCTACCTTGGAGAAATTCACTAAAGAAAAAACAGTGTAACACAACTATCAATAAATACTTTCCGTTTACATTTACAATCTAATCAAAGACTAAAATAGTCTTTAGTAAAACATTTCGGATGTCAACATATTTTATAATAGAATATGAACAGTGAAAGCATGAATAAACCCAACTAATAAGTAGACTAACTATAGCACAGAATGTAAACACAGTTTATAGACAAAATATAAATACTTAATGAAAATATGGTACGGTAAATCGATGACCAATATTTTGACTACTTCAAAAACATTACTTATTATTATAAAGCTAAGTGCCCAATATATTGATGATGATTTCACGACATTAAAGACATCTACTTCAATAATATTAGTAGTATATCGTGAAAAAAATTCGTAAGAATGAATAGGCTTACTACAAGTAATGAAAAAAATATGAAGTCTTGGACATTAGTGATGTAACGACAGAATTGTTTAAAAATGTCTGGTAATTAGAGAATGTTCCAACACCATAGAATGAGTCGTTAGTTATCCCTATCTCTAATAAGAATCCACTTCACTTATCTAAAAACAATAGGAGGATAAGTTTACTTCTGATGGCATCCAAATTATTGACTTCCGTCATACTTCGTAGATTGTTCAAAACCCATGAAAGGTTGACTTGCGAGGAGCAGACTGGTTTTCGTCCTGGTCGAGGATGTATTGGTCATATCTTCACCCTCTCCCAAATCTTAGAACACCTTCATACTTATTACAAGCCAGCGATCGTAGTGTCTCTCGACATCAGGCTCGCATTTGATTCATTGGACAGGACTGCTCTATGGGATTGTCTATTGAAGAAAGGTGTGTTTAAAAGCCCTATATACAAACACCACTGGCAGGGTGGGGGCATACGGTCACCTCTCTCCATTGTTCTAACCCAGAAGCGGGGCTAGGTAGGGTTGCCAAATCTAACCATTCCTTTTCAACTTTGCCATCAATGACGGTCTGAAATCAACTTTGATGGATGTGGGTAATGGTGGTGTCAATCTGTTGTCTGGAGAAGGACTCTTCGACCTTGAGTGTCCAGATGATATTGTCCTACTGTGTGATGGTACCTTAGCGATGCAATCTGCACTTAATCAGCTGGCAACCAGTGTCCGTGGGTATGGCATTTGCTTTGCACCTTGGCAGTGCAAAGTACTTTTACAAGACTCTCAAGATCCTAAACCTGCACTCACTCTTGGTAGTAAGCAAACATGAGTAGTCGAGAAGTTCGTGTATTTGGGTAGCTCAGTGAGTGCTGTTGGTGGCGTGAGTGACGTTAGTCTCGCTGTAGAAGGTCAGGTCTTTAATGCGTCGGGGAAAGCAGTATTGCTATATGTTTTTGAAAAATGGTCTCTTCGAATTGGAGATGTTAGGTGATTCTCTGCGTCGGATCATCGTTGTCTACGAATGACTATTGGAATTCAGTGGAAACACCGTGTTCTTATTAATGCAGAGGTTCGGCAGCATGTGTTTGGTCACATTGAAGATAATTCGGTTGCTGTCACCATCTTGAAACATTGACTCTGGTGGCTTGGACATGTGCAAAGAATGTCTTTTCCATAGCGACTTCCACACTGTAACCTTTTTGCTGACTCTCGGACTGACTGGAGAGGCAATTAGTTTATGACATGATCTCGAGGTATGAAAGAAATCTGTACAGGATCAGATTTTCTTGGTTCCTTACGACTATCTTGTTGTGGTCCCCGAGATAGTGCAACATATAGAGTTGGAATATTACCAGAAATGGCTCAGAATCGAAGCCAGTGGTGATCCTGCTGTAACTTTGGCTTCCTTCATAAAAGTGGGAGCAACTTTTTTTAACTGAAAAATATCCCTTCTGGTTGCATTTTGCTTAACTGAACTGCTTCTCCCATCATGATTTCACTCACATGCACCAATATCTATACATAGTTTTCCTTGTTTTTGTTATATTCACTTTCCTTCCTCTATCTCTTCACGACCTCATTTTTGTTGTATCGTGCATATATATTTTGGCTTCCTTGTACCAATGTTTAACATTAATACTTAAGTCCATCGACTTCATGTAATGTGTTAAGCTTAAATTTATATCATAAAAACGTAAACAGGTACCATCTTAATAAATATATGGACTTCTGATGACCAAACAGATATTCAATAAATAATTGTATGCATATAATCTTCAGAATGTATTTTAGTTGCATAAACAATAGTTGACTAATTAATTATAATTTGTACAGTTCTTATCAGTACTACCTTGTAACTATTTAGAGTTCAACAGTTGGATAGCGTTTAAAGCTATATATGTATGCAATAACAGAAAGTCGAGTAGACAAATATAGACTTGAAGGTGTTATTTATTAGAAATTGATCCCATTCGGGGTACCAAATTGTGATGAATACCGTCTTCAAATAAAACTAGTTTCCACATAAGCTGTCAGAAAAATAGTATAATTGTAGTCATTAGAGAAATACTTTTTGATCAGTTCCTGAAATCTTATTGAGAAGTTTTGACCCGTGGAATTCAGATATATGAGAGATCAAAAAATCATCAGTTGTTTTTGGATTGTCGTTGCGCTATATTTCGAATCGATAAAAGTTGGAAATGTGTATCACTGACACATCAAGGGACTTGAAGATTTTCAGTTCAACCTCAGAGCAGGGTTATGGAGAGGAGTCCCATACCAGGAAGAAATAGCTGCCTGGTGTTTTATGTTCTTTAATAGTACCCAACATAAATTAATCCGTGATGAATATCGCCCTCAAATTAAACCGGATTCTGTAAAGCCCAATAAAAAGTTCAAAACTTCCTACATAGTCTTGACACGATCATCTGAATAAATTCGAATGCAATATGAGGTTATGATTTTTATCGTTTAAAAACGAGACAATCGACAGAACTGAGAGCTTATTTGTTAGCTTGTGATTGACATTTTATGAATGAATGATCCTGTCTCATCTGAAACGATCTTAGAAATTCATAGCTCAAGTGAATTATTCTAGTGCCGAGTTGTTTGAAATATTAAGGTTTTATGTTGTTTTTTAAAACCGAAGTATATCCATAACGATGATGACTTTTAAATATTGGACACTTCACTACTTTAATCTATATTCGTACATGTGAGTAGTAACGATTTCTGAATATATGAAGTCACTCAAAATACTTGTTCAGTGACCAAAAAAAGTAGTAAAGAAAAGTAGAAATAAAGTATTGAATTAAACTCCGTATCTCAATTAATCTCAGTAGCACAGTTAGTCGGATAAAACGTAGGACCACGCACATATATGCATCGGTCCAAGTTGCCATACCTCATTAGCACAGCAAGATGAACACCGGATTCATAGAAGTAGTTCAGTCAATGGTGGTAATATATAAAAGAAAGATTACATATAAGGATGTAGTACAGGAAGAAAGATTTAGTACGTAGAAAGAAAGATATGAAGCGATTTTAATCTCATAGGTTAAGGGAAGACAGATTCTGAGCCATATCACCCAGAGTCTCCGACCATTGGTTCCTATAGTCACACGGACCCCGACTAAGTAGTCTGATTCTACCAACATGGCTCAGACCAGAAGTCAGTGTCTTCAAGCACTGATTTAATGGCGTTATTAAATTAACATCATACTTTAACAGTTTGAATGAAAAGAATATAAGCAAAACAACGAAGTAAGAAATAAAAACATGAAGAAAAATAAACTAACCAGTGGTTCAGGATCTTCCATATCACTGGAACTTGGAGATGTCCCTGGGTGGACAATATGATCATATATTAGTTGACCATTGATAGGTGTGGAGATATTTAAATAGTTGGATAACTGGATCATGGATAAAAAAAGGAGAAATTATTGCATTAATTAGAATACCAGTAACAGGGTATGCACAAATTTTCCATGTCCCTCTAAATAAACAAACACATTAAACCACTTAATTTAGACTGAAAAAGTAATAGCTTGACGAAAGAACTAATAACAATTAATTTTCATTAGTCTACGTTGAGTTTCAAAAGCCCTGGATACGTTTAAATTGATTTGTATTGCAAACCAATATCAAAATGAGAAGAAAAAAAAACAACGAAAGACAGAGAGCTTTAAACTATTTGAAACTATCTATGAGTACATATCTACTATTCTATACATAAGTTACGTATGAACACTCACAGATAAAATTATACAAACATCAAACTGTGATCGATTTTGGATCATGTTAAATTATGTTTGCAAACATGCATCACGAATATCACGCGGATCCAGAAGAGGAACCTAATCAATCGAGAACAACTTTACAGACGAATAGTATCTTCATTTGACTCCATTAGGCTTTTTATGGATTTTAATTTTAGATGAGACAACATTACGTTCAGGAAGTTATATGCTAATCTACTAATTAGTTTTTTATCTAGTGACAACATATAAATACTTTCTACATACAATTAGGAGGTTTGTTTTATCATTCACATCTATGATAAACATTTAGCCCCGGCACAACCGAGGGTGAGGAGAGTCAGCTCTCCCTCTTGAAATGCTCTCATATGGTGACGGGTATACAGCCACTACCAGGAAATTCCTAATCACTGCCTTCTCGCGGCTGGCATGTTGTTTACGAAAGTGAAAGGGAGAAAGGCAAATGCCTGGCGCTTTAACCGGATTGGTGAATATAGAGGATCCACCTATGGGAGTTGAAAAATCCTGATTCTATGGACTGCCGGATCCTGAGAGAATAAATGACTTATTGTTGGTCACCGGCTACCATGGGACTGCATATCCTTACGTTTCTCCACTGCTTTGTGGATTAGACCTTCAGGTTAAAGGCTCGAGGAATGGTCGTCGTAGAAAACCACCTGCTTCGATTTGGGGGCTCTGGCAGTATCATAGGCTTCGCACAAATCAATGATAACCACTACTGGCCTCATTGTTATTGAGTGGTGCATATGTGTTTCGTGCCCCCTTGTATCAATATCTATGTGTTCAAATAAATAAATAAGTCATAATAAGTACAAATCATAGTAGCCTAAATACTAACAGTATATTGTGAACCAATAAATTCATCTAGAACAGCAAAATATCATGATGATAATTGCTAGTGCAATGTAGTGAAAACGTCTTTAATCAACTTACAACAAGATTTTTAAAAAGCTAATAAACAATCAATTCATCCCTTACCTCCATTTTATCAGTAAAATTATTGTTATTGTTATTATTATTATTATTGTCAGTAGTAGTAGTAGTAGTAGTAGTAGTAGTAGTAGTAGTAGTAGTAGTAGTAGTAGTAGTAGTAGTAGTAGTAGTAGTAGTAGTAGTGGTAGTAGTAGTAGTAGTAGTAGTATAATTGGTAATATTAACTTCATTGCCTGGATTAAACATCTCAGCAACATCACCATTAATAATATGTTTTGTACAATCATCATTAAAATGGCACACAACTATGTGAATTTCACGTAGACCAGGCTGATCCGACAGATACTGCAGATAAGCATTGACATAATTTGGACCTTTGGTGGAGACATCGATACCTTGAATCTAAAATTGATCAAAAAGACAGACAAACACAAAATTGGCGTTTTATAGTATTACTGGTCAAATTTAAAGTTTTGGTAAACAAACAATTCTAATTTATTACTAAAAGTTTTTATAGCGTGATTTTTTGATCAGTTGTTATATGCAAACTCTTAGACATATGAACAGAATATCATATCTGGATATGGTCAAAAACTTTAATGATTATATATTTTTATCAAGTAGTAACACTTAGTCGGGTCACATGGTTAGTAAGTATTGCACAGTGTACAGTAGACAATTAAAATATAATCAAAATAGAACACAAGGTTAAATTACATAACAAAGGATCTTCTCAATTACGAACCAATCCATAACTGACGTTCCCTTTACGCCAACACAGTAGTTAAAGTACTCGACTTTTAACCACGATGTGAGTGGTTTGAATACTGCACGAAAATAGTGAAAACTTTAAGGGCAAACATTAAGGTACTTGGTATGTTTTTCTTATTGCCTATCATTTTGAAAAGCAAAAGGTAATTACTAGGAAATTTATGCATCTACTATATTGTGGGATGATAAAAAGATGTCATACCAGCAGAACTAGTTGAGACCCTTTGCTGAAAACTTTACTGTACTCAAACACATGATGCAAAATACAGTAAATATTCTTATTTTTACTGTGATCAGTTTATATTAATGTATGACATGAACAAACTTATTAACTAAATATATGTAAAGAAGGATAGTGGATATCAGTGAAATCCAGGACGCACGTTTCGTCCTATTTGGGACTCGTCAGCTGGATGTACCTGCACCTCAGAGTTGATGTCCATTCTGGGGCTCGGACTCAGTACCGTTCGTTTCACATATGTCAATAAGAGACTGATCGATTGCAGTTCTAAACATCAATGGAAAGATTCAAAAAAACAATTTAAACTACACCCCATTGCACAAGCAAGTGGCTATCATGACTCAGTAGCTAAGTGGATAACGCGGTGTTTGAAGCGAATGGTACAGAGTTCGAGCCCCAGAGTGAACATCAACTCTGAGGTGCAGGCACATCCAGCTGACGAGTCCCGAATAGGACGAAATGCGTGTCCTGGATTCCACCGATAGCCACTATCCATCTTTGTATATAATGCTTGTGAATTAAGGTTATGTCGAGGCAATACGCACAGTATGCATATATGCCAATAAGAGGCTGATCAATTGCAGTCCTGAACATTAATGGGAAAATTCAAACAAACAATACCAAGTGAACTTATTAACTAATCAGTAAGAATAGTAGCAAATGTTGTCTTTATCTCTTCTAGGCCCTATTATTTGTGGACGACATTAACCTTGAAAAAAACAGGAAGGTGAACTAACAATTGTCTAAACAAAGATTATTGCATGAAAAAACAAATCTCTAATAGGTATCAAATCGTTAAATCAATATCCGATATGTTACAGTCGATAGCTTAAACCGATATATCGGATTTTAATTTACAGGACTTTAAGGTTGAATTTAAAATATATACACAACTTATCCTTAAAATATACAAAATGAATATATACCCTGAAATCAGATCAGATACTTCAACGATCCATTTTGTTATGGTTATGTACGTGTTCGCAACATACACTTAGAATTAAAATTGGACATGTGATTAAAACGTACAAACAGTCCTAAAATTATATTGAGGTTTGAGACTCAGGATACTAACAATCAAAAATAGATAACCATCTATCAATCAAACAATCTATTTCTCCCTCCATGCTATATCATTTTGTGTGGGAAACAGAAAATTGTTCTTACTTAGAAAGAATATCTTTGTAACAAATTTTCCGAAATAAAATTATATATAAACTATAAACTCAGATCTTGCCAGTGAACTTGAGTATACTATGGAACAATATCAGTATAGCAAAAGGCTATTGTTAAACAATCTATTTAACATACTTTTTGTTGGGACCCTTATTTACTATATATAGTGCAATTCGTATGAACCCTGGTGAGTTGAGAAAGGAATTAACCTCTACAAATTAACGGACCTTCGACATGAGTGCAAGAAAAACCTTTTATTAACTTGAACTAAATGTAACGATGATATGACATTCGTCTGTTTTCGAAGGGAGAGTATGATATTCAATATAATTTGTACTATAAATGATAAATTCATATTTAAATTGAAAGATTACTTCCTATAATCTTGGATAATATGAGCTTACAAAAATCATGATTTAAAATGTGTGGAGCACAAACTAAATTGTAACAAATTTATTAACGTTTTCGGATTCTAATTTTTAAAGAACAAGAATAATAGTCATGACATATAAGAAAACATATATTTCTTTAATTCCAGTGATACATGAATGAATGAAAGTTGGTCAACTGAAATAAAACTAATGAACATAAATTGATGAAAAAAAATAAATCATCATGCAACAAAGACAATGAACACTGACTTACTTGTAAGATCAATAGACCACGGCTAAGCAATTTACAATTTTTTCCTACGCTATTAGGCAATATCTCGGATACAATGCTTGGATTTTCTAAATTCATTGGTGCTGAACAATTCAATTTTGAACAAATATCAGAACCTTTAAACAACAATTAACAGAAAAGAAAAGTTACATTTTCAATAGTCTACTATTTATTAACAGAAAATAAAGAAAATATCTAGTTACACAATGATATTGGTTTTGTATTACTTCGAAGATTAGAAGTGTACACTGAAATACACATACAAACAGATATGTGTCAATAGAAAATTGAAGAATTTGTCACTGTTCATCAAGAATGCAAACAGGATAACCTGGTTTAGTTAAGGAATAGTAATGCACAATATGAAAATTGACATCAACATACAAACATCCACATAAAAATGAGTACAAGAAGCTGGATGTATGTCTTGCATAGTTAAACTGCTATCATAACACAGAATCAATATTTTACTCAAGATTTTGAAGTTCAATAATACAGAAAAGGTTATTTTGAGTTTGTAGACGACTTACGTCAAACATTTACTACAGCTGAAGAACTAAGCAAAATTACGGAACACTGGACAGTCGGTAAGTGCCTTGGCCTGCTGCTCCGGCAACATCGGTCAGACTGTCCTGCCCTCCATGGCCGGTGACGACTGATCTACCAAACAAGCAGGAAGTCCGCAAGGAACTCCAACTCTTGAAGCGTTACAAATCACCTGGCCCAGATGACTTACCTCCGGCTCGTTTTAAAGATGGTGGTGACTTTCTGACTAAGGAATTGACGACGTTGTTTACAAAGATTTGGGAACTAGAGAGTGTACCAACGTCATGCAATGAGTCGATAGTTGTCCCTATCTTTAAAAAGGGTCCACGTCGTTCCTGTAACAACTATCGGGGGATAAGTCTACTTCCGATTGCGTCCAAGCTATTGGCTTCCGTCATTCTTCGTAGGTTGTTCAAAACCCGAGAAAGATTGACTCGCGAGGAGCAGGCTGGGTTTTGTTCTGGTCGAGGATGTATTGATCATATCTTCACCCTCCGCCAAATGTCAGAACACCGCCATACTTATCAAAGGCCAACAATCGTAGTGTTTCTTGACATCAGGGCTGCCTTCGATTCGTTGGACAGGGCTGTTCTCTGGGATTGTCTATTGAAGATGGGTGTGCCTGAGAAGTTTATTAACATCCTAAAAGCCCTATATAAAAACACCTCAGGCAGAGTGAGGGCATACAACCACCTCTCTCCATTGTTCCATTCGAGCAGTGGGGTTAGGCAGGGTTGCTCATCTCACCATTCCTCTTCAACTTTGCCATCGATGACATTCTGGAAACAGCTCTAATGAATGTAAGTAATGGTGGTGTGGATCTGTTGCCTGGAGAAAGACTTCTCGACCTTGAGTATGCGGACGATATTGTCTTACTGTGTGATAATGCCCAAGGCATGCAATCCGCACTTAATCAGTTGGCAATCAGTGTCCGTAGGTATGGTATGTGCTTTGCACCTTCGAAGTGCAAAGTACTTCTACAAGATTGGCAGGATTCCAATCCTGTACTCACCCTGGATGGTGAGCAGATAAACGTAGTTGAGAAGTTCGTGTATCTGGGTAGCTGCATAAGTGCTGGTGGGGGTGTGAGTGATGAGATCAATGCACGTATAGTGAAAGCCAGAGAGGCTTATACCAATCTGGGCCACCTTTGGCGCCTTCGTGATGTTAGTCTTGCTGTAAAAGGTCGGATCTACAACGCGTCGGTGAGAGCAGTTTTGCTCTATGCTTGTGAAACCTGGCCTCTCCGAGTTGAGGACATTAGACGACTCTGTGTTCGATCATCGCTGTCTCCGAAGGGTTGCTGACATCCAGTGCCAACACCATGTCAGTAATGCAGAGGTTCGGCATCGTGTGTTTGGGTGCAGAGACGATAATTCAATTGGTGTCACTATCTTGAAACACCGACTTCGGTGGCTTGGACATGTTCTCCGAATGTCGTCCCAGAGAATTCCACGTCGTGCATTATTTGCCGACTCTGGGACTGGTTGGAAGAAGCGGAGAGGTGGTCAGTGCACGACACGGAGTCGTGGTATGAAAGAAAGCTGCGAAGGACTGGCTTCTGTCGGTCCTCCACGACTCCCTGGTTGGGGTCTGAGAGATGGTGCTACACAGTGGCTAGAGACGTTATCAGATATGGCTCAGAATAGAAGCCAGTGGCGATCCTGCTGTCACCTTCTTTTACTTTCTTCATAAAAAGTGGTTGTGTCTCCCTTACCTGAAAGATTTCTTCTGATTGCACCTTTCCGTTCCCTCATTTCTACCATACTACCTCACACTAATCTCCTCGTTATTGTCCTCTTTTTTTGCGCTCCTTGGCTTTTTTTTTCTATTTCTCTTCGAATTCTCATTGTTTTGTGTGGCGCATATATATTGGCGCTCTCTTGTACCAATATTCATGTGTTCAAATAAATAAATAAATGTGGAGAATGTCTACCCTCTCTCTCAAAAAACGCTTCCATACGGCCACATGGATATAGCTGCTGCTAAGGAATTCCTAATCACCGTCTTCTCACGGCAATGTTGTTTACGAAATTGAGAGGACGAAGAGCGTATGCCCAGAGTTAAACCGGGATTCTGGATACGGAAGAATCACAAAGGGGAGTTGAACAACCCTAATTCCAAGTCAAAAGTGCACTCGGATTCCAGGGTCACCAGCCACTATGTTATAGAATATCCTGACGTCGTCCCACTGGCATGGGAGTTACATATCGAGGAGTGGACTCGCCTATAATAGACTAAACTCGTTCATTCATTTTTTAATCACTGAATTATTTTTTCCACCATCTTCGCACTGGTTTATCTATTTCTTCACAATTCCATTTGCTTCTTTGTGCGGCTCATGTTGATTTTGATGACCATTGCATGAATATTTATGTTTTTAAATAAAAAGCTAAATAAATCTTAATCCCTATAAACCAAACTTTAATCCTTAGCTCAATAGTGACTAGCTTTGAAATGGAATTATGGATTCTCGGAGAAATGTTGTGGGAAAAAACTTGAGCGGGTCCGTCACTGGCGTTGAATAAATGTTCTGGTTGAAGTAACGCGTTTGCTGTGAAACCTGGATGATGGATGATTTTGATGGAGTTTTGTTCTCTGAGCTGGATGGTTTGGTCGTGGAGCTTTCATCTTTCTTCTGAACGATGTTCCGGGTTCACCTCCTGACTTTCTTAGATACGTAGGTTTGGGGAACTTCATGCTCCATCCACTATTACATCTGATATGACGGATATGAGTTCGACCTAAAAGCCAGGTCTCAATTCACTTTGGAGTGAGCAATCTACAAAACTGATTTCCGCTAATCGTTTATGATACTTATTCATTTTCATTTTTGTTTGATAAAAAAACATATTCTTATGTTTAGTGGGCGTACATCAACAATTCGGTTTAGCTAGCAGCTATCCCACGACAACATTGTAAAATTGCATTCCATCTATTAATTACATAGTAATCATTTAATTTAGTTGTTCGAAACCCGTTCACCAAATAATCAAATCCTAATTCGTAAAAATAATTTTAACAAGGAATGACCATAATCAGATTTCCAATTATGAGTGGAAAGTGTTAAAACATCAGGTTCAAAACTTACCAACTGATGACCAATCTCCTAAAATTAACCAGAGTATGTGGTAAGTAGATCAACCCAATTTGTGACGTACCAGATTACAAGGCATTCATCACAACATTCACTTCATATTCATAAAAAGACAGGAACCATAAAAAACCTTATAACTCACCAGATACAGCCAAACCCCAGGGTTGACTAGTATCTAAACGATGAAGTACAATTGCAACCGGAGGTGACCAATTTATAGGTTGTACAATGGACGAATATGGAAAAGAACTGTGAGTAAAACGATGCAAAGTAATACAAACAAAATATTAGCATAGTAAAGCGAACTAAGTTGACTGAAAGTAAAACATAGATACGACATTATTTAAAGATAAATGCGATCAATTTTTAATGCGGCTATATTTATCACTGAAAATATTATATGAAGAAAAAATAGCCATTTAATAACCCTTTAATCACTAAACGTTCCTTAGTTGATATTCTTGATAACTGTCTAAAAACTAAATATTTTCTTTAAAAAGCATCTAAGTTATTAATAACTGAATGAAAACTACTGACGACAATTTAAATGAAGACTTCTAAGTTCAAACGACGTGACTTATGGACGCGCTCAACTCGATAATGAAATACTGATCAAGGACCAAATTACACTGTGAATCGAGTGCAATTAAAGATGACAACACAAACTTTTGCAGCCAGTCTAAAATCACGACGGCTTCAACGACTAACCTTATTGGTATAAAAAGCTTTGGGGTTCGTTATGCGTAGATCAGTATCACTAGTCACGCCACCACCGGGGTTCATACAACAATCCAAATACATGGACTTTCCGGTTACTTCTAACGGCTCACCACAAAGAGGGATTCAGACACAGGTTCATTCAAGTTTTATAAAAGTGCATTGCGTTCAGAAGATACAAAGTACGTGTCATACCTTACAGACACTGATCGCCAACTGATTAAGTGTTAGTTTGCATAGTATGCAAATATCATCCGCATACTCAAGATCGAAGAGTTTTTCTCAAAGTCACAGATCTATACCATAATCATCACCACCTATTCCCATCTAAGCTTTCTTTCATAATTTCACAGATGGCTGAGTTGGAAAGAAAAGGTAACATTGGCCAACCTTGCCTAACCCCACTGTTGGGTTGGAACAGTAGAGTGAGATGGTTGCATGCCCTCAATCTGCCTGAGGTGTTTGTATACAGAACACTCACGATGTCAATAAATTGCTCACTCATAGCCTACTTTAATAGAATTCCAGAGTACAGTTCTGTTCGATGGCGGCATTTCAACGTTCGACGTGAAGTGGAAATATGGTCGATGTATCCATAAACTGATTGAAGATTGGTCAGCTCCTTGCTAGTCAGTATTTCACAACCTGCGAAGTATGATGGAAGCTGTTGGTCTGAGCGCAACCCCTCTCTAGAGATTGTCGTAAAAATATTTTAAATATGGGAGGCGACGGTCGATTCATCTCAGGATGTTGGAATACCCTCTAATTCGCAAGCTTATCTAAACAACTCAGATAGTTCCCCACCTACTTCAAAAAAGGCCAGGGGCAAACCGTTTGAGTATAGTGATATATATTTGACGTTGTCCGTTTACCGATCAGGATCTTCAAGATAACTCCTGTTGTACAACAGGAGAAGGATCATTAAAAATAGTTGGTTTAAATAGTTTTTACCCCTCAATATCATTTTGAGTTCAATCTATTTACTTGTTACTCAGATCAAGATCCTTTTTCATGTAACTAATGAGTTAGACTGGATAGAAAATTCGAGCGCAGAGAACTAGGTTATTGGATATTATTACGTTTTCGTACTGTTACTAAAAAAATTAATGGGACCTACCTTCTCTGTAAAGAGTTTTCACTCGTTTGATTCAATGTTTTAGATAAACATTTAATTCGATGAGATTCAATAACAGAAGCAGGAAAATACGTTATGCTGAAGAGAACATAATATAACAGAACTGTCACAATAAACTGCACTGTACAAGTCACACTTTAAGGTAATAACAAACTATCAAATAACCACTTAGTCTTCAGTTTTTTTATCATAATGTAAAGATGATAACACTGAAGTGTGTTTCGTTTAATTGGACAATAAGAAATCAAACATTCGAATAGATAGGTCGTACACTACTCATATCTTTTTATGTTAAGTTTAACGCTTATTCTGTACTTTCTTTACGAACTATCTATTTGTATCACTGAACTAGTCGATAACTTGAATCCAGTTATTTCACGTTTGACTCTAAGATATCAAAGAGTTAAACTCGCAATAAAAAATAGGGATCATTACTAGAGTCGCGTAAAAGACAATCTAATAATAATCTTTTTGGCTCAAATAAAAACAAGCAGTTATTCGCATCTCATTATTCCTGTTACGGACAATCAGTTTAAATTGATTGGGGAGACTAAAAAGAGCAGTAAGTAGCTGGTTAATAATTGACCTCTCTTTGATAATTCATGAGGAAAGAAATTTAAAGACTGATCACTGATAAGTAAATAATGTCACGTTAGCCAATTCGAAATGCTAATTAAAATGTACTTTCATTTTAACAGTTTAAACAACAGTTTTAGTGACTTAATAACCGCATTATAAAACCATATAAATACGGTATGTTCCTGTGCTAAAAAACGGTCGAATTTAACTAATAAGCAGCTATTACAACGAAATGAGTCCACTAACTCGACCCATCTATGCAGTTATAATTACTTTGGTCAAATTAGTTCGTGCTGAGTCAGTATAACAAATTTTATGTGAAATATTTTGAAAGCTACATATAGTTTTACGATGACAAATTATAAATCTTATTTAAAACCCGTTTATTCCTTTAAATACATACGTAAGAAACTAATATATATCCTGATAAAGAATCAAATTTAAGATAAATAAACACTGAAATTAAATTGTTGACTGACAGATATCAATCATGATTATGAATTTGAAATGAGCAACGAGTTTAATAAGTCAGAGAAACAGTGTAGTGTATTGGAAAAATATATTGTAATAATCTAATCCCCTGTAGAGAATATATACATCAGTTTATTTTAGAATAACCGCCAACTTCTTACAGGTTAAGTATTTTAAGGTAAGCTAGTAGACATTCAGATTGACTTTCAAAAAATAGTGACTATTACAATACACAAGAAACGACATTATTTGTGTACATACACGAACGCAAGCGCTCAATACAAAACAAGATGGATTCCGAAAGTTGAAATAATAATAGTATCAGAAAGACCAAACCCTAAAGAATAAAGTATACATGGATTGTGACTATGATATGTTCGTGCACAATGTTAATAATTGGCGACTCCAGCTGATGAGTCCCAAGTGGGACGAAATGTGCGCCCTGGATTCCACTGCAAGCCACCATCCATCTCCTTTTAAGAATTACCATTTGTATACTATAAGTCAACGAAAGAAATACTAATAGAAAAGAAGGATCTCTTGAAAGTCACACGATAAAAGTATCATCTTTAGAAGTGAATGCATGATAAAAAATTCTTTAAAAAGGAAAATAAGTAACCATGACAAACGGCATTCGATGAAGTCAACTAAGAATACGGCTCGTCGTGAACGACGACAAAACAAAGAGTATTTGAATCTACTCAACTAAAAATAACATTTAGTGTTATAGGGTTAGTGATATTACAAACCAAGATGGAAAATTAAATTTAACTACATGATGCAAAGAGATTGAGGATTTATGGCCTAAATAAACAAACTAGAATATTTTGATGCACATATTGCACAGAAGGCGTTCAAAAAGTTTTGACTCTAATGTGTATACACAAGAGAACAAATTTCAGTAAACTATTGATCCTTTATTTCAAACTACTTGTTAATTGGTTATAGAAATTGAGGCAAAAAATAAACTAAAACACTGACAAACGAAATTAACACAAAGGTAAACTAATTGTTGATATTTATTTAGTAATATAAGTGAATTGCACAGAGAAATTTTAAAATTTACATAACAAAAAAATAATAAGAATAATAACTACCAAGCTCAGAAATGATGAATGAATAAAAACAATAAAATTTTAGCAATTTATTAGGTAATTAATTTAGCCTATATATTATTATACGGTCATCTTATATCAAACTAATTACAAAGACAAAGAAAGATTGCAAATTGAATAAAGTGTCCTACAAATGATTATTTATGCTAACCTATTTCATAGCGTACAGCGAAAAATACCAATCAGTTTTACATAATGGGAACTAATATTTGCAGACTTACTCAAGTACAAATTTATTACGGAGTTTCCAAGAAATTAGTTAAATTTTTTTGGTACTTATCAAAACTGATACCAGTTAGAGTATAATTACAAGAAATAAGGGGACGGGTACTAGACACTTTGTTTCCTGACAGTATGAGACTTTATCAATGCATGTTATATATCATAAATCGATGGGCAATAAGATTCAAACCTGTTAGCCTGCAGGTAATTTGCTCGCCGTGAGACTTGGTGGTGATGGGTTTCACCTTTGGCATGGTTATGGTTGCACACTGATGAGAAGTTCATAACTAGGACGAAACAGCTCTCTAGTGTTCAGTAGTACATGAAACAATGTCAATTCTTAACGAAAACAACAACACAACATTCAACTGACCAATCTGGTTAATATTCGTACAGTTTTAAAACCGACACCTATTTTTTTAATGTTACTATCCCTTATATAATAATAAGTTATATTATATACCATTATGGGCCACGGTAATTTCACATTGCTTTTCAGGAGAACCAGACACCGTCCAGACTTTCACTTGACAACCCAAACAGTACAGCTCAACCTCGTTTAACAGGGGAGCCAGACACCGTATAGGCTTTAACGCTACAATCTGAATAGTACAGCTCAAACCCGTGGCGCCACCACACAGGTACCAAGAACCCTGGTGGACCATTCGCAACATTCATATACACATTCACATCACATGCATAGTTATTCCGATCAATGATCGCGTGAATCAATTATGCACAGCACGGACAGGCCCAAGTTGACCTATTCCGCTTACACGACAGTCAAACTCATTAATGTTAGCAATGACGACATGCCTTACAATGTCCCAATGACAATGACCCCCGAGAACACTGAAAATCAACCACCAATATGAATGAAACCGAATAACCAGCAAACCAATTTTGTGCATGAACAGTCAGCGAAACTTGCCAAAGCAATGCTGAACCATCCACAATACCAATGGCAAACCTCCAGCCTCATATGAGACCTTCAGCTTTGCATAGCCATATAGATTATACAGCATAAGCTATACGACAAAACATGTGTACACAGAGAGCAGTTGATTTTCAAATTTCTAGATGAAAGTTAAGCTTCCAAAACAGCGAATCTGAAAATTCACGTAAAAAACAAAGAGAAAGGGATTTAAGAAAGTGCATATAGTATGACAAAGATTACTTACTGAATCACAGCTGAATTTTGCGATAGTGAATGTAAGATTTCAAATGCTTTTAAATTGTCTAAATAACGCATAGAAAGACCGTTCAAACTAGTTATATAATCATTTGTGACAAGAACTTGATCACGAGCTACAGCCCCACCACCTAAAACTTGCACGACACGACAACCATCTTGTCCATGACAGGCTAATGCATCTAACTTTAAACCTGTAATGAAAAAGTAACAAACGAACATATTTCTAAACATTAAAATTTCCAATAAAATAGTATGTTGAATAACAGAGTAACGAAATTTTGAATAAAGTAACAAAGATTTGCAATATGTGACAATATGCAGTAGCTCATCATATATTATACATAGTGTTCGCGTGTGAGACTGCAAGTCCTGAGTTCAATGACCGGTGGCGACGTCGTGGATGAACACTCCTACTAAGGATTCCAACACTAGAACGAAACGGTTAATCAGTGTTCCCAGGTTTTCAACAGTTTTCTAATATACATCGGTTTGTGATATCAATAATACCATATGCATTGTTTAAGGATATAGGTTACCCATTAATTTAACGTATACGAAGCTACTGACGTTGACTACGCCACGTTCTCTGGTACATAAGATCATAGATAAGTTAGTCATTGTATGTTTCGACATTAAACTTAAAATGACTCTTTAAAAAAACTGATAAAACCAAGATATCATGAAACAATTGGACAAACAGGAATGTAGAAGTAATGAAAATCAAACGCCTATTGTCTTAAATCAATAGCCATGGAGAATGAACAACCAACGATTCCTTGCGGTGATAGTACTAAAATCAAACACATACTGATAAATGAGACGTTTGCGTGTCTTCAATTATATTGGTTTGGTGATAAAGTAATTGAAATCTCTGAAAGACGAGTCATCATTTGTTTACTTAGAGGTTTTGTGAACATTTTTTCAATTTTAAAATAACCTGGCCTACTAAAATCACCAGCAGTACAGTGGAACTCTTAAACAATAAACGCTCACAACCTGATATAAGATGGAAATAAAGGACTTTTAAGTATCGTAGTGTTCGATGAGTCTGAACTAGGAAGTCGTAACTCAGCACTTCACATATTCACCTACAATCAATCTACGAAATGGTGTATATTTACTGCTGAATTAAAACGCTGAATGGCATGATTCAAAATCGTTCGAAAGGACAGAGATTTATTCACTATTTATCTCTTTTATATCTTGAGTTCTAGTAGTCCTTTATGCACACCCTTCCATTTTATCCATTCGAACTACATTCTTAATGTTCATCCTTTCTCATTATCATTGGTGCCCTGTGGTGTGTGCCACTGATGTCAAGAGATATAAGTAGTACGTATCATCAATCGAAAGTGAAATGTTCGCTAGCAGAAGGTTAAGAAGATCAAGGAAAAGAGAACGATAACAGAGAGTGATTGGTGTGGAAACAAAGGAACCGTCAAGTCTGAGACAATTGACTGACATTTTGCAAAAGAAGAATTTGCTGCATAGTTCTTAGATTTTACTAAGAGATTCTGTAATTTTGTTTTCAAATACAGTCGGTTGTCCCCATTGGTGTACTCGTTCACTACAGCACATTATCAAAATCTTCTTTGCTATTCACCTTATTAATTTTTAACTCGTCGTGTTAATGTATGAAAACTTGGGTCAATGTATATTTTGCTAATGACTAAACATTAATTATAACTGACTGACTGTTTCACATCAATGGTGAGTTCGACGATTGATGATTTGTACTATAGACAGTGTCAGCAATTGCAATTGTAGCACCCTAGCACGGATTTTATAAATGATTTGAAGAATCGTTAATTGTTCACTAGAAGTAACGTAGCTAATACATTAGGTATATGTTTACGCACACGGATTTGGGCCACACGTACCTTGTAATCACTACTGAAACCACAAGGCTGCAAAACTCAAGTACGCGGAGCTAGACTCAAAACTGTGGATTTTACTTTCACTACACTACTTAGATCTAAAAGCTAACTGACAACTTCTGGCGAACTTAGAAAAACTTACCTATCGGTAAAGATCCACGTTCCAAACGCTCAGATATCTCTAATTTTGGGTCAACTGGAGTGACATATTGTAAATCGGGTGCATGTAGTTGAGGATTTGGACAAAGTAATGGTAGTGTGTAAAAATCTAAAGCCTACAAAAGGTATAGGTAGAAATGGCAAAAAGAAAACATTGCAATTTTAATTCATGGTATCAAGAAGGAAATGGCAACGGCAACAACATAGCAATATTGAAACACAATCTATACAATACTTCTGATTTGCATTCAATACCATATCATAGACGAGGCTGTGATATATCCGATGAGCTGGAATCTGATAGAGTTACTAAAACTAATTACCGAATGGATTTATAAAGGATATAAACATTGAATTCCGAAGAAGCAGTGAGCATCGATTCAAATCACTAGGAATGGTAGATTTTCCTCCCTAATTGACTTCATTACAATAACTATGAACTTTCTAAAATTAGGGATTTTCGTCTCATAGAAAGGGCAAATGTTGCACGGATAAGTAGTATTGTTGCGAAAATCAGCAAAGTATGGTGTGCAATGGTGAACACTGAATTATTTTTGGAATTTTGGAAATGAGTTATTTTAGATTCAATGAATTACACAAATAAAACAACTACACGCTGTGTGACAATCCAATCCATACAAAGTGAATAATCTGACTATGGAAAAAAACGATTAAGAGTTAAACAAATAATTAAATTTTCTTGAACAAGAGATTGTCTTCATCAAATGCTAAAAAGGCTAGAAGATTAGGCCACACATTTTACACCAAACAATATTTTAATTAAAGTATCAATTTGCAACGAGAAAATATTATTGTTGATATTCATATATAACTAATTCATGAATAAGCATTGTGAAGAAACCATTTCAGGTTTCATCAAAATACGAAATCATATACAATGACTTCAATAATATTTACATAGTATTCACAATGTTTTAGCAGGTTTTATAAAATTTAGGTTATTAAGTTGACATTAAGGAGGAAGTATAATTTTGCAGTAAGCCTTTATCATCTTATTTGTATGATCTATTTCCCTAGGTCACAAAAATAAAGTCAAGGAAAGTTGTTATCTTTTCACTATTTGTTTACTACAGATTTGACCTTTGTCCTGTTTTTTTCCGGTGTGTTAGCTCGTGTGTTTGTAAGATCAAATAAATTATCAATAATAAACGTCTTTCCGTGACAACTCATGTTTTGGCCTCTGTATATTCTAGATATAACCTTAACAACGCTTAGAGAATAAGGCAATAGATAAATACACAATGGAATGGTCAATAGTTTACAAAGTATTCTTTTACGATTATGATTTTGAAATAGAAGTATCATATTTATAGTACAGAGAATTTAAAGTAAATTATCACTGTAGATTATATAAATGGTAATAAAAGTGTGAATAGGAAAGAAAAAAATTATATTTGCTTAGAAAAATATCGTAAGATAGTAAATAAAAATAATAAGATAGGTAATAGGAGAACAATAGTCGACCATAGTGCCTAAACAAAACCACTATGATATCTTAATGAAACCATATATTTAAGTGACTAGATGAAAATACATAAGTTTGTGCAGGAGTTTATAAAATAAGACGAGATAGCAGAAAAATAATTCGGAGAAACACTCAAGAATGATGTTATTAAACTTTTAATTATACACAGAGTTATTCTCTGTGTAGCAATTTACAAGGGTTATCACATTTACAAATAAAATAAGCTTTGAGTATTGGCATAAAAAGAGAAGACGGAAGATGGAATGGACCTCAACTGTATTCGTGATCATCAGCTGTAGTTTAGAAAAAAGAAATGTCTGGCAGCAGGCATCTGTGTGCACTCTTATAACTAAGTACTATAGGTAATAATATAAAACTGATGCGTTCATAAATTGTACACTATTCATTTCAAATAAACGATTGAAACAGATTGGGTGATATTGTGATAATATCTATCCCAGAATGTCAAAAGCATTTGAACTGCATCCATGAGACACTGGACAGTAACTAAGTATCTTTTATTAGAGTATAAAAACTTAAGATGAACTAAAATATGTAAATCAATTACTAAATAAAAAAGGATTGACTGTGGAATTTACAGCATGTGAGTGTTGTGCAAAAAACAAAAATTTACGCTTGATCTTGTATAGAGTATGAAGTGTTGATAAACTAGCAGAAAAACTGATGTTCAAAAGTTTTTCAATCGATGATGAAAATCACTAGTAGGTAGGATGTTATAACTTCGCTACACATACTACTGGTTTGGTTAGCTGAGTCACTCGTTATCCACCACATACAAAAATTGTATCTTTCAAGCCAAGTGCATTACATTAACGTATATTTGGTAAATAGATTACATTCAATAATATAATTTTTGAATGCAATAGTGTTATGTAGTATGATTTTATGGACTCATTTTTGGTTGTTAAAATAAAAGGAAAAAATGCTGATCGATAGATGACAATCGAGTGATACAACATCAAGGCATTTTTGTACCATGGATGTTTTAAACTGAATTGTTTAGTAATCACTGAGACGTATATACTGATTGGATTTCTAAGTTCAATTTTCAATCTTATAAAACTGATGGAACACTTTATGAAAGCTTTTCAATCAGATGAGATCAATAGGAATCATTCCTCCTATAATATTATTTCATTATGTTACACTTAAACTATATTTTCCGCTAACTTTTTCTCCGTTACAGGTGAAAAAAGAACTTAGAGGAAGACGAAAAGGAGAATATTGAACATATTCTCTGAAATGAAACAAGAAAGCACAAATATAATAAAGGGTCAACAGAAATTAGTGCAGTCTTAAATTGATAAATATGTTCAGAGAGTGTGTTTGTATAATGGTGTGTCGCCACGATGCAATGTACATACATACACCTTACTCTTTCACATAAACATAATTCAACAGCATTTTAGTGATTACATATATATGCACAAACACATGGTGACTAAAAACCAATTCATCCATTACCCAAGCATTATATATCGGAAAACTAACATTCTATAAACACAGAAGAAACACAAGGATAACCAAATGAAAGAGGACTGACCACATAAGGATAAATATCGAGAATAAGGTCAATAATGAAAAATAAAAACAAATTGGAAATAAAACAAAAAATCAGAACGTAAAAAATAAATAAATAAATATGGTAGGTATTTAGAAGTCGATTAAAACAGTCGATTTCATAAAGTAATTAATTAAAAATAGCAATAATAAAGGTAATGACTATTATTATCATTTTTATGCAAATCGTAAATACAAGTAAATTTCTTGACACAACGTAAATACTTTAAAAGTTCGATCGTCAAGATATATAATAAATCTAAAAAATACTCCACTGGAAAGTTGATAGTTATGATCAACATTAGTGAAACTTAGAGTCTTAAGGTTTTCTAATTGAAAGAATACAATCTACAAGAACTAAGGTTTCTCTTTTTGCGAAATTCAATCACCATGCACACTACGGCTTTACTAACGGCAGATATTACAAACAGAAATGCGTGGAAATCACGAACTGACTGAAGTTTTAAATGTGGACAGCTGAATGTCAAATGAATGGTATAAAATAAAAAACAGTTACAGCGAAACTTGAAAATTGTGAGTTAGATACCTGGAGACTAATAGTGTGAGTTCCCGATGTATGCCATACTAAAACAAAACAACTACATAAACCGCCCAAGTTTGATTGGTTATTTAGCTAATCAGTACGTTATGAACAGTTTTTCTCAAATTGGACAATTTCCACAAACATTCTTTTCTAATAAACTTATTGTAATCATAAGTGCCGATGAATTATCATTTTATACTGTTTGAACTGCCGACTGTAATGTTACAATGATGTCATGCTCGAGTTTCCCTTATCATGATGGCTCAACCGAACTATAATGGAAGGAACAAATGTTTTTTAGGTCCCACCAGGCCATATAAGATACTTGTAGAACAGGGCGCCCAAACCAAAGCATGTCGTACGTCCATGATGTCACTGATAATCGGACTTAGCCATGCTTATATGAATAAACTACCTGGATGTGGTGTGTATGATTACTGAAGTCAGTGGTTAGATATTTTGAATGACATGGCTTACAGTCGTTCGCAATGGCGCAGGTGGATTCATTCTGTCTTCCTCTAAATTCCGAGTTTCTTAATTCCTCATGACCGTTTCTGTGTGTTTACTTTACCAATTTATATTTTATTTTCAAATTGTATCTTCAATGTCTAATCTTTCCTATTACCACTGATACTGTTACTAATCGACTATTCTGAGATTTAGCCTGATAACTTTATCACTCTATGCTAATAGGGTATGGCAACTTGAACCGATGTACATACGTACCGGTTCCACGTTGTGACTGACTGGTGGCTGAACTAGTTAATCATTTCTGAAATAAAATGTAGTTTACAACACTAGTACTTCACAATTATAAACTGACTCGGTACAAAAAATTACAGCGGTAATTCAATACAAAGTATACTCAGAAAAACAACATACCTCTAGGCTTATTGAATGCTTTAAGTTTAGACAGATGAATTTTAGTCCGAATGAACCGTAACTGTGTTTCATTCAATGACTTTTTAATACACCGAATAAACGAATATCAAAAAATGTTCCGTAAACAAGTAAATTATAACTTCGCCTGGAGCCGCTCTGAGGCTAGTAAAACATATGGCAATAAATGTGGGAAAACTGAAGGTGCAGTACAATCGACACTTATGGCAAAATAGCTGAAGGCCAATCGTACCAAATAATAAACTACGGCTCGGAATTTTATTGTCACTACCATCACAGATGATGGACTGGAAGAGTGGACAAAAGGATATCTAAAAAAACCTAAGTAAGCATCAATTTTATACATCTTGAAAGTTAGAAAAAGAATTTACTCACTCATAAGACTGACATTACGGTTAAAGGACAAATTAACGAATCGTGTGTGGAAAAGAGACCAAAGTACGTTGAAAAGTAACGAACAGTAACACAAGTACAGAAATAAACTTACCAAATCTTCAGTTCCAGTTGCATTGAGACCATTCTGTTAAAATAGAATTGCGAAATAAATTAAAGACTTCATATCACAAGATAAATGTTCATTCATGCTGATAATCACTAATTCATGCATGAAAGCAATATCATAAAAATAGGACAACAAACGATAAATGACTGACCAGAAAACAATTTATGATGCAAAACTTGCACATGATCCACACATTTTGATCAATAAAGATATTGAAACGAGAGCAAAAAACTAAAAGTTACTCATAGGATAAGATAATATTCATGTGCTTTGTCAATACAAGATGTGAAAAGAAATAAAATAAATGTATTATATATTACAAATTGGATGATTATTGAGTGAAAACTGATTTATCGCTCGAAACTAATTCCACACAAGCAACCAATAAGAAACAGCGAAATTTCTTAATTGAATTTAAAGATTGTTTTCCTGACGAATTAACACTATCAGGAGAACCAATAGGAAGACAATGAATGTAGAATAATCGCTTCGATCAACTTCAGGACACCTCAGCTCACAGGACCGCTGGCTCTGTACAGGATCGAATACTCTGTGTCATCGATTACTTTAGTAAGGAAGATATCATTTAAGAAAGGAATATGGTTTCACACTTTACAACTCCAGTTAATCTACAATATAGCATTTGTCGCTTAACCTCATTTGAGGGTAAGTGTCTCACTCCTTAAATAATTAGTCTCAGCTATTTACTAGAACATGAGAGTATATAATTAAGTTGGTCGTTCATGGGGATTTGTCCATGCTAAGTTACGGCATGAGCTCACTCAGTCATTCAGCCATACGCACACTTAAATGCTCAAAAAAATTGCAGAATAATTGAAAACAGATAGTAGGTGACATTTATTTCATGGTATTTTGTGGTATTTCAACAGTGATCATACACGACACTACAAATAGGATAAAGCCTACAACTTACAGGTTTTAGGAGAACTACCTAGTTTATAACCTGAATTCCAATTTTCTAGCTTTTCATCAGCTACTAGATATCAGAACAGTTATGGTGAAAAAACGAGCATTAAAGAGTAACAGTTTAGCTGCTAATAGGGTTTTATTACCTGACTGACGAAAACAAAGCTAAAAATAACATTGTATCTGTTTGAATTATGACAATCTTTTCATATATATATATATATATATATATATATATATATATATATATATATATATATATATATATATATATATATATATATATATATAACAACCAAAGTCTTGTAAACTTGTGTTGCTAACAGAATTCTATTGTAACGTATGTATGAGTGAACAGAATTAGGAAATAACACACATACACATGTCCATTAGTAACAGCTTCGTCATACATCTACATCATCAGAGCAATAAAAGAGCAACCATTCGATGTAACATATCTTTCAACAAAACAGGGTTATAATGAATAGTGGACAAACTCAAATCAGAGAAAATAAACAACACAGTTGATGCAAAACAACAGAATAACAACATGGTGAACTGACCAATAAGTGAGTATATAACGAGAAAAAATCTCTCAGTAACAGTGTAGACATTATTTTTGTCTTTATTCACGATCATGCAGTATATTAATTAAGAAATGCTACAAAACGAAAACATTAAATATTCAAAAAATTCGAAGCATTTGAGAAATATTGAATAAGAAGACATTAATAGAAGTTCTATTACAGGTAAACTGTTAGAAATTAAACTTTAATTTAATAGGAGAATTGGTGCACAAAAATATACGCAGCTAATAATGAAATGTGTAGTAACCTGTTAAAAAGCACACAAATACCGACCAGGAATGCTTTACTCGTGAAATATAACACGCCAAGAGATTAGAGACATGATTAACCCGTATTGCTATATCGTGAATATATTTAAAATTTCAAAGAACTAAAGATTTGAGGCACAAAAAATTCATAGTAGAACAATGACATATTGGTTTCCATTCCAAAAATGCACAAGAAAAGTAATAGTAACTGATTGGGTATGAAAGGGAAAAAGTTCGTTATTCAAATACAATATTTCTTGATTTTATTTACATGCAGTATAGTAATGGTGACTAAATTACTAAGATGGACAACGACTACAGACCTTTATATCAAGCTTCTTATGTTTTTCATCTATACGGTTTGTAGGTTGGTTGTCCAGGATAGCATGATTATCATGGCTTCCAGATCGGTGTCGGTGACGACTATACTGGTGAGATGTTGAAGAAATATTCAGACGTTTACCAGCAAAACGTGACTGTGAAGCATCTTGATCATGTTCAATAACACAGCAATCCCCTGAATTATGTTTATCAACTGTCTTACCGTTATTACAACTAATACTACTACTACTCGCATGCTCATTGGACCTAGTTGATTTTGGTGATGAATAACAACTATGAATGAAAAGTGACTCGAAGAGTAAATGATTGAACTCATGATGATCAGATTCAATGGATGAAGACATAGTTTTTGGATGGACATAAGGGGAGAGAGAGACTGATGAGCTTGTAGATAAATCGCACTCTGTTTTTACATCCTCTTCTTCATCATTATCGTCAGTGTTATCATTTCCTATGACGATGGCATTATTATTATTATTATCCATTTCTCCATTTGAATACAAATTGTCAACATTATTATGACCATTTTCGTCCGAGAGAAGTTGGAATCTATAGTAACTACTCAATTTACTAGATGCAGAACACCATTCGGATTCATTATTTACATCTCCACTCTGACTAATATAAGGTAGTTGGTATCTGTTAAATACTGAAAACTCTCTACGCTTTGAAGTTAATTCAATTGTGGATGCTTTAGTTGGCGTGGAAATATGATGCGGAATAGCAGATGATGTAACAGAAGAATTACATAATCTATCATTATTGGTATTTTGATCTTCCAAGTATTTCAAAGCTTTTAAAATGGATTGAATAACAAGTCGATCGGCTAAATATTGAGTACTACTAGCATTGTTGTCAGTAGTGCAATAACTACTTCTAGAGACCAATGATGAAGTAGAGTGATGATCAGTAAGAATTTGATCTACTTTATCAGCACCTAATCTGTTATTATTGCTATCATCAACGTTAACGTTCGAAGATGTTAAGAATCCAGAAATCATAGATTGTGTCCATGACTGACTTGAATCTGCTGTTCCTGCTTTTGTCGATGACGTTGATGAGATGAACCGATTTCGTTCGGTAGTCGAATTTGATCTAATTGAATCCTCCAACACTTCGTAATTAATTAGATCCACTGCTTTTTGAACGATTTCATGCACTAAATGAAGAGGTAACTGGTTGACGTTATTAGTATTTAGACACTTCTGAATATCATGGATCATATGACTTTGTCCACATTCAGATAATGTACACATTTGGTAAGAATGATGACGATGGAAATAGTGTTCATTGGTGTATTTTCCTAACTGCTCAATATAACTATAACTTTTACACTTTTGATGTGTAGAAGAATGATTAGTTCCCAAAAGTAAAGGGTTCAGATGATTAGGTGTTGGTGATCTCGGACCACAAAAAGATTCACTTTGTTGTTGCAACTGATCCAAACTATTTGCAATAAACAACCTTTTATTTATGGAAGGTGTACGATATTTATCATAATTATCGGTAATACTTGCACGTAAAGTAAATACTGAATCGGGTAGAGGCCTTTGTAAAGAAGGACATGAATAAACAGTACGCATTAAACTCCAACTGAAGCTATCAAAGCATGCAGTTACTCCATGCCTTGACTAGATTGACCAAAATAAAATTATATATATATATATATATATATATATATATATATATATATATACGTTAATGTGTGCACAACAACCATAAACACCATTGCATATACCCACGAAGAATGGTCATCGTCGTAAAATTTTATTATTCCAGGAGAGGTGGAGAACAGGAAAGAAAATAAATACAGAAGGTACAATTAGTAATTATAAGGTACTCGTGCAAACTTTTCAGTTAACAGTACTTTAATACTACAGCGATCATGTTCGCATGTTTTGTTTTTCTCTATCAATCGCCAACATGTCACAATGATTATAAACCAAACAGTTAAAGTCGAAAGGTCAAAGGTCAAACAAAGGCTTTACTTTAGTGTAAAAATCACTAGCAGGAAACATTAATACCTGTTTTATGACTTGTCAAATAAAAAAATGAAACTCAGTAAACCATTTACAGAGGTATGTATCATTTCAGAAAAGCACGGCGCACATGCGTTACGGATACAAGCCCACTTTTAGACAGCTAAAAAATCTCACCTTCACCCAGTTGCGTACGCAAAAATGTATACAACTCCCTCCAAACCACTATTGCATTGATCTGTATCTACGATCGACTGGATGCATGCGAAATATTAGGGTATAATACGATACAAGCTACATTAAAAGTTAATTTGCATATAGAACAGTGAATCATACCACGCAGTGTCCTGATCGTAAACAATTTTTGTTATTAGTTGAAATTACCCTTTCAAATCAATCACATCAATTTAAAAGTCTCACCAAATACAGTCCTAGTAACTCAGTTTTCAGTCGAGCTACTTATATGACAGTTAATGATTAAAACAGGCTGCTTAAACCACAATAATTGGAACATAATTCGAAAATAGTCGGAAGTCAACTGTTTCAATCATAAAGCCACGGTTTCACAAATTTTATCACAACCTTCAATATCGTGTATGTATGATGTGGATCTATAAAAGGTATACCTACTGAAAAGGATAAGGAACTCAAAATAACATCGGTACAATTAGGAGCATAGTCATGTGAGTTATGAAGACTTACACCACAAATGCAACGGCTCACTTACATTCACACAATCTATCATCCAATGAATCGTCAATTTTCTTTCCTTACTGATAAATTTACAGTGTCAGTGTTTTTTTGTAATATTTAATTTTCCCATGTATGCCCTTCTGAAACAAACTAAAATCTATCCCAGTAATATGCCGAGTACAATAATACCGATATTTTACAAGAGATAATAGTTAATGAACAGTATATTATTTAAACTGCATTTCATTGGATAGCCAAAAAAGTGAACGACTAAGTAAGAGGAAGTTGAATTTTTGATGGGAGGAATATGAGTGACAAATATGGAAAATAACGAAGCATTCAAGATTTAAAGGGGGGAAATTTAGAAGTCATCGGGACACTGGAATAAAAAAAATTAAGCCTTGAGTAAAGTAGATTAAGAACTATCAAACTTCATTTTAGTTTAGGTAATGTTGATAAGAAGATTGTTTATCTCAGCCAACATGATAGTACCAATAGAAATAGAGTAGCGTCTCGTCGTGCAAAATTTACGCCGGAAAAAATTATTTTCCGATAAAATCCCATAAGCTAATCGAAAAACTTGGTTCTCTTACGTGTAATCTTAATACTTTTCGTTCAGCACAGTCTTATAACATACAGGAGCAATTATAAATTTGGGTATCAAACAGAGCTTACATAACATAAACAATAAAAGATATGAGCACAATGAACTTAAAAACACCATTTTATAATATTTACCATTATCGTATTATTATCGTCATTATCGATAGTGCTATCACCAGTGTTTACGTGTAATGGATATGCTAGATCAGACTTAACACTGATCTTTTTCATTTCACCAGTATCTGGAAACATGCCAATCACAGAAGGTCTAGAAGAGACAACAGGGTATGGCAGTAGTAATTGTTGTTGGCTTTTTTCATGAATGTCATCCGTTTCATTTGATTCCAACTGCATTTTTGCAATACCAATTAAACATGGTCCATTAGGAAGGGACTTTAGTGTAGTAGCGGCCTCAAATACACTAGATTTCATTAAGTTTTTATCATTAACAAATAACAGCCTGTCGCCGATTGATATACGTCCATCCAACTGTGCAATACCACCTGGAGTTAAACTGTCAACTAATAAGATACCGTGTGATTTGGAGCGACTAGACCACGTGGATCTTCGTTTCAATCTACTGGAAGATTTGGAATTCTTACCAGGTAACGATGATAATGATGCAATGGTAGAACCGGTAGAATAATAGGAATGAAATGATCGACGATCAGATTCAATCATATTAGAACTCCTTCTATCAAGTGAACAAGCTTTACGGAGTGTATTGCCTTCTAAGTCAGTAACAGGTAGTTCCTATAAAGATGTAGATATAAGAAACAACAATAAGTGTTATTTTCGGACATTATTAGAAATGGATCAAAGAATTAGTAACAATAAAATAACTCATTTACATGAACACACATAGTGGTACAATATAAAAGTATAAATAAACATTTATTTGTGTTCTGACCATCACCTTAAGTTCACCTGGAAATCCTTTACAGTTACTGGTGGTCAGAAGCAAGACTGTGAGAGGGTTAGCAACACCACCTTCAAAAAACATCGTTAAAAGTGAACCAACCGAACCATCAAAACCCTTCTGTGGGAGTTCAAAGGTCTTCATGTAGAAGAGTTCAAACGAGAATCGCCAAAAGCTACAGGGCAGATACCGCCTCTAACAGCCAGAGCAACAGTGAACACGGAGACACAGGATCTTCGTGCAATATAGGTGACTTATAAGGTCATTCAAATAGGCATATAAAAGACGAGATGCAGCTGCCATCTCCTTGGATTAAGTGAAGCTGACTAAACACAATGTGGACAAAAACGACTAACTTCAGGAAAGAGAGAAAAGCACTTATACGATAGGCATCTCATGGATCCAGGAACATCAAAACATCCTTAAAAAAAGGGAAAATTCAGTGAAATTTATGCAGTACCATGAGCTCACTAACATTAGTAACGAAGATGATGAACATCAGTTTTATGAGGGGCTGTAGTTTATCGTACATAAAATGACATGACAATCATGATATGAGACTTGGAATGGACAACACCGTGAATGCAGATATCATGGGACAACATGAACTAAGAAAAATGAATGGAAATGGTGAGAGATCGGTAACTTGGTATGCTTTACACAACATGGCAATACGTGGTAACATTCTCCACACAAACGCATGCACAGAGCTACATGGCTTTCACATGGTCATACTACGAAAAACCAGATCGACGACATATGCATAAGTAAACGGTTCTGAAGTTCTATGGAAGATATAACAGCAAGGTGAGGAGCGGATGCGTCTTTAGATAACCATCCACGGATGGAAAAGCTAAAACTGAAGCACCGACGTCAGGCATAGAAGTAACTGCAAACCTGTTACACATCCTATTCAAGAGGATTTAGGAGGATGAACAAGTGCCGATAGACTGGAAAGTGGGATACCTCATCAAAGTAACAAAGAAAGGTGACTCAGTAAGTGTGAGAACTACAGAGGTACCACACTACTATCAGTATCAGGAAAAGTTTTCAACAGTGTTGTTGAACCAGACGAAAGATTCAGTGGACGCTCAACTTCGAGAACAACAGGCCGGATTCCGTAAGGATCGATAGTTTACAGACCACATCGCGACACTATTGATCATTGTTGAACGATCAAATGAATGTAATTGGTCGCCATACATCAATCCTCTTAACTATAATAAAGCATTTGATAGTGTGGATAGGAGAATTTTGTGGAAGCTTCTTCGACACTATGGCGTACATGAGATCATCACCATAATATGGAACTCTTACAAGGGACTAAAATGCAATGTAGAAGGGGACTCAGACACAATTCGGATAAATCTGGATGGTTCGGACTTTGAAAATGACTCATCATTTCTATGAAATACACGGCGACAAATACAGATAAAGACCGCTAGTATAGCAGCCATTTCCCTAGCAGTAGACCTCAAGATTCTGAAATACAGAATAGCCAGCACCAATCAATTCACAATTGTGGGATAAGCTGCGAGTAGACAGCGAGATTGATAAACAAAGCGAATTTGATGCAGATTAAAGGTACGAATCGGTAAAGCAAGGGCAAGATTCCTTCAATTGAAGAATGTTTGAAACCCAAAATATCTACAATCCAACACGAAAAATAGAACTTCCAACACAATCGTTAAAAGTTCTAGCTAGTGGAGCTGAAACGTGGAGAACTACCACCACCATCACCAAAATAACAAAGATGTTTTGAAACAACTGCAAGCACAAGATGCTTCATATCCGTTAGCCAGACATCATCAGCAACAACTTACTGTGACAGGACAAACCATCTCAGATGAAGAGAAAATTAGGAGCAAACGTTGGAGGTAGATAGGGCGCTCACTGCGAAAATCATCAAACTGAATTACGGGGCAAGCCCTAACTTGAAAACCCCAAGGGAAAAGTGCCAGACCAAAATACACATCGTGAATTGAAGGTTGACACCAAAAGAATGAATAGCATTCGGAAGCAACTGGAGATAAGAGTTGGTTGCTAGTTCCTGGTGGGCGGCTTATGCCCGAATAGCGGTGAAAGGCTTAACTAAACAACTAAGTCCTTTATCATCAATTTTCAGTAATCATTAAATATGTATACATGTAAATTTCTGTTCAATAAAACTCACCTCATATTCAGCTATACTAAATCCAAAACCATGAGATGTTTTATTTAGTTGAATAATTAAAGGCACTGAAGACCAACATGGTCGTTTAAAACCGTAACGAGGATCAATACGATTTGACCGATTATGATGATAATGTGGTAGAGTTTGACAACGGCGATGATTGTGTTGTTCAGTAGATTGTTTTTCCATACACACTTTACCAGATCTTGATATTGGTAAACGCCCTAAAGTCCTAGAATGTATTTGTGTTCCTGACCGCTGTATTGTGCTGGGTAATGAATATTTACGATTGTTTTTCATTGTATTTACTGGATACTGTTGTTGTAATTTACTAGTGTAATTCGGATTTACATAATTATTGAGGGGGTGCTAGAAAATCAATGATTAAAGGAAAGTGTGAATTAATTATTGTAACTAATTTACGAAATGTAGGTATAGATATACGTATTTAGCTTTGGTTTACATTGTATTTAAGTGTTAGGGTCAGTGATACCACCTAGCTTCCAAAACTGAACCTGGTTCAGCAGGGTCAGTGCCTGAGACCTAAGAAAATGTCAATTGCTCTAACTATTCGTTAATCACTTTAATTGAAAAGAAGATACTAAACACATACACCTAATTAGCAAAACATACATAAATGAAATATAAACAATTTTAATCCAATGGTTCAATGGATTTTTCCAGCTTTGGATATACAGATTCATATTGAGAGACACCATTGATATTATTCTTTATGCAAAGAAAACTGTCTCTATTGATCTTCGAAGAATAAAGTTTATCTGGTTTTCCAGTATTACATAGGCACTCGCTACTTTTGCTAAAAAACTAGGCATTAGACTTCAAAATATACCTGTATTATCCGTATGAGAGGGTTAGTAGTAAGACCTAATTATAAATCTAGAAATAGGTATTTGTCTTTGTTGATATACTGTTAAAAGTCTAAGGATCATAGTACTTTACAACAATATTACAATAAGGAACGACTACAATGATTTGGGAATTATTGATAAATTTTGAACTCTGCAGACTTTAAAATTATGTTTGAACTGATTGAGTTTCATTATTTTGCTTGATTTTCCCAACACTTTTGATGTAACTTACACTTTCTGTGCAAAGACTACTGACATACCTAACTATCATATTTGTTAAATATAAATGAAGCCGTTTTAGAGCACACCTGCTTGGAACTGATTGAATTAACCACTAAACCATTTTATGGTCGTAATTATTAATCATGACCTTAAAACGAACGTTGGACAAACCGTAGTGACTGTTATTTCATTTGTAAGGGTTGTTTAAGTTAGAGACCAACAAAAACAGTGGTCATTAACTTCGCCTAGAATATTGACAAATCGCAAAATACAAATGCATTTTCTTCAACAAAAAATAGGTTTATTGTTTTTGACATTTTAATAATTCACAAAGATGAAATTAACAAAGTGAACGAAACACGGGAAATGAGTGAAATCGACGGAAGACCACGACTATGTAACAGACAGAGATTTCGATGGTTTGTAAAATTCAACACGGTCAAATTAAGTATTATGGCCATGAAATAGCTACACTAACAACTACAGTCTCTTGTAGTCCATCATTACAGACTTCACTAATGATGCAGTTAGTTTCTTAAAATGGCACTCTTTAAAATTCCTACTACAAGACCAGGTCAGATGAAGAGATGTGCAACACAACATCTAGTTTTAACAATATTTACTGGGTGCTGCCACAACAGATTTTTGTGATAGGGCTCAAGTTACAGATTTTTAACACACAAATAACTTTGGTTAAGAAAAATAATGGACCGATATTGAAAATAACCAATGGATGATGAACAATTCTGACTGTCAATACCTCCAATCCAACGACAGGTGACTATTTTGCCAATAACAACAGTGATCAAATAAAAATGAATAAAAGCACAGTCAGTCAGTCAGTTAGTAACAACGTAGAACTTCGTACGTACGTACATCAGTTCGAGTTGCCACACTACATTAGCACAGAGATGCACTTGTCGATTCAAATCCCGTAGTGGAAAGGTGGTAAGAGCATAAGTAGTGATCGGAAAGATTAGGGTTTGAAGATGTTATTTAAAGAGTATAATACAGTGAAATAAATTTGGAAAGACGAAAAAGGGGACATGAAGAATTCAGAAGATTAGAATTTGGGAGAACACAGAGAGTGGATGCACCTGCGCCATTGCAAACGATTTTCAGCCATGTCATTCAGGGTCTCTAACCATCGGTTGCTATCATCTCGCGGTCCCCAACCAGGTAGTCTACACCTACCAACATGACTCAGACCACTTGTCAGTGACTTCATGGACTTGTGCCATGTTTTGGTCTGGCCGCCCCTAGCTTTCTTCCAACCTACTCCTATATCACTGAACATCGCACGTCGAGGTAGTCGGTCGTTGGGCATATGTAACAGGTGTCCCAGCCATCTCAACTGATGAAGTTTCACTACTTCATCAACCGATTTGCCATCCTTACCTAGTACCCGTTTCCTAACAACTGTGTTACTTACTCGATGGTCCCATGATATACGAGCAATGTTTCGAAGACACCTATGATCAAATACTAGTAACCTACGAATATCCTCTACTCTTACCGGCCATGTTTCACTACCATAATGTAGGATGGAACGAACTGCTGTAAACCCGTCCTTTGGTTGATAAACGGATATCTCGCCTACGCTAAAAATGACGCAAGTTGGCAAAAACTAGTCGAGACTTCTGTATCCGTTCGGGTGTCGATGTAACCCAATCCTGAAGCATTTCGAGGGAGAGAATCGCATTCCGAACATGCTTGCATTGTTGCTTAAAGTGGTCAGAAGACTCTGCATTTTGTCAGCGTCTTCACCAAATAAAACAATGTCATCTGCATATTCTAAGTCAACAAGTGAACCTCCTGGTAGAAGTTCAACGCCTGGAAATTTAGATGAGGGGAGTGTTATCCCTAAAAGTACGTCGACCACAAAGTTGAACAAGAATTAGGGGGTCGCCATGTTAAAAGATATTTTTCCTTATGCTTAAAGTTAGTATTTGCAAGAAACAGGCGGTTATCTGAGCATAGCTGCAACAGACGGTCGCCATTATCTGTTCTTTGAGCAACGACACCATAAAATCCACTCAGGTGTCTTTCCCTTTCGCTTAGTTTACCTACTTGAGCATTAACGTTACCGACCACTATTAAAACACCAAAGCGTCTAGCTTTTCGGAGAAGGTCCGAAAGCTTTCTGTAAAACTCATCGTTTACATCATCTGAGCTGCAGTCAGTGGGAGAATAGGCAGAGACGACGAAGAGGCAACGACGAGTGTTCCTATCTTTCCGGATTCTTACTGTTCCGTTCAGTCGGACAGCGCACAAACGACTGTCTACTGGGATCCAGTTGAAGAGAGCTAGTTCTGCCCTAGGACTCAATGCTATACCTACGCCAGCGAGGCCACGGGAAGCAGAATCTGGACTTCCAGATACACGAAGCGTAAATCGAGTCGATTCTTTATTTTGGCATGGTGAGGTCAAATGAATGACGCTACTTGGACCCTGTATGCGCGTTTCGGAGACGCAGCACACATCGATGGCGCGAGATTCTAAAGTCCTAGCTAAGGAAGCCTGCTGTCCTATTTGGGACAGTGTTCGGACGTTAAAAGCTCCTACGTGTAGTTTAGAGCGTGGTTTCAGGAGACTAGGAATAACGATCCGCGTACTCGAATCGTTTGCCCTAGCGGTGCGAGGTGATAAAGAGACGTGAGGAGGGTTAGTCATGGAGATAAGAGAGGTATTAGGGGGTGTAGGAAGGATTTGAATGTGACCAACTTGGTCTCGTGTGCTGTTACGAGTATGAGGGTTGATGTCACTTCCTCGCTGCCCACACCGTGGAAGGGTATTTCTTGAGGAACCTGAAAAGGAAATTGGATTAGTGTTGGTCATGACGACCTGGGAGCGTGACCGTAAAGCCCAAGGGACAACTGCATGAGGCCGGTCGCGCACGGCCTTTTCGTGGAAGGTTTTCGACGTGTTAGCTCCGTTCTTCAAAGGGCCTTACCGCCGGAGACGGACATCCGTGAGGTAAGGTGAGGTGTGGCATTTTTAGGGTCGAATTTTTCTAACCCCACCCCTCCTTGTGGGAAGGCAGCATTGTTGTCATGCTGGTTGTCCGAGGGAAACACCTTACTGCTGTCACACCTCTCTACAGTCAGCAGTACGACTTCGCCTTCGGACCTTGGGTTTGTTGCTTTTAGTCTTACCGCTCTTCAACCGACCTGTCTGACATGGTAGGACCTTGAGGAACGGTTGTTCCAGCCAGTATAGCTCGGTTGCTTCATCACGATAGGCAAGCCCGACCACCACGTCAAGGTAGCAACAACGGTCGGGAATAAAAGCACAGGAAATTAGTTGTCAGAATACATGATAATAGACTAATAATAAAAGGTCTTATAGAAGTAATTATATGAATTTAAATTCAAACAACCAAATAGAAACAGTTGAAACTGAATGTTATGATTAAAGCATAGTGTTATATCCTGATAAGAATAATGAATGGTAATTTTCGGGATCCATTTATGGACCAATTCTAAACGTATATTTTTATCGTGTAATTGTTATGTAACTAAACTGTTCATATTCATGTCCCTCTTATTATGAGTTTCATTTTGACCTATGAACTATTGTTATACGATTTACCATTCTTGAATTATTCCCCGTCTATTAATTACTATCTCCCTCATTCACGGCCGCATTTTGGCTAATTCTTGTATAAATGTTGTTTCACATTTTACAGTACGTTGTGGTCTGTCTGGTTGAGATATAAACCCAGTATGCTTGAAATAAATTATTCATATTGCAGAGGCTGAGAGTGGTGTTCTGGATTCAACTGGCTGGACTAGGCGGAAAGCAAGACTAATCAGGACTCTAGGCTGCTCGCACGTGTTTTATGCGTCACTGGCTCGATCGATAATCCACTGCTCCCTAATTGGTGGTATCGTTGCACACAAGTTCACAAGTTATAACACATATACTTTAATCAAAAGCGAGAAAAACATTTTTCAAAAGATTAAATAAGTGTCAGCAGGAGAGAAGGTAATGGCGAAACTAGCTATTCCCTAATATTATGCTTTAAACAGGTGTACAAATCGAATCTATGCGGTTTTCAAGGTACAATAATGCATATAACAAAAAACACATTTTCTGGGACTCTGCCAATCTTCTACAGGTTAAATATGTATAACTGACAAGTTACAAGTAGTCACGGTTTGTATGCAACGACTAGCGATACTATCGTTTCCTCATCCAAACCGCCAATGGTCAAGAAGGATTCAAAACCGTTACAACTAGTGATAAACATTACAACACTGATTTGTGCAGTTGTGT